TTACCCCCTCCCCCCCCCAATTAATCCTTCAACCACAATGAGAGATTAACTTTATAAAATGTCATTGATCTGACTGAAGAGAATATAATTTGCATTGCTGGAATTCTTGTAAGATAGCAATTAATTTGAGTATAAACATCCCTTATTTTGCACCACACACACACAAGGGAATTTAGACAACAAGCATCTAGTGAGGGTCTTGTTGTGTGACTGCATGGAGGTGAATGAAAAGATCAGCTGTTGAGGATCTTATCACTTGGCAACATTGGTGTATGTTACCACTTCTTTCCACTCCATCTCTCTAATCACCCACACCTTTCTGCTTTCTCACTCCATATTTTAAAATGTTATGTAATGTAATGTTGAAGGGATATGACTTTTCTCATTTATACTTATACTTATCACAATCTCCCTAAAAATACTTTAGGTTTCGTGTTTATTTAAGACATCTTCAGGTCATGAGACCCATTAATCCCCCTACCCAAGAAAGGGTGACCTGACATTCCATGAGGTCAGTAATATGAGACCACTACTCCCCCACCTTACCTCCACCTGACATTGAGTCAGGTCAGCCCCCCCCCCTTCAAAAAACAAAAAAACAATACTTCAAGTTTCATCTTTATTCAAGACATTTTCGGAAAATTCTCTCGATTTTCAACCTCGGAAAATTTTTTCCCAAAGCCAGAGATTCTTGGAAAATCCCAGCTTTGGGAATGATTTTCCGAGCAAATTTCAATTCCGGCTATCGGAGATTTCCGGGTTTGAGGGATTCCGGCTAACACAGATATTACTGTATTGATAACATATATGGTAGACCCTTGCCATTCATGAGTTTGCGACTCGCGATTTCGACAATTTGCTGAAAGCAGATGGTGGCTAGCTTGCAAGCCTTTTCCTGCAGCATAATGAGACACCCCACTCAGCATTTTGTGTTGTACTTTCAAAACTTTAGTGTTTCTGTGTAAAATGGCCCCTAAAAGACTGCCTAGTGTCAGTGTTAGTGAGATAGAAGTCAGTGATGACCCTGACAAAGAAAGTTTTATTATTAGATAAGTTAAAAGAGGGGATGAGTGCTGCTGCGGCTGGTCAGTTGTTTGGTATAGGTATACAGTAGTGCACTAAGGTAGTATAAATTGCTATTCACGGTTTTGCCAATTCGCTCCTTTTCTTGGAACCTATCCCTCACGAATGGGAAGAGTCTACTCTATGTAAGAATGACACTTAAATAATGGGTTATTTTGCAGCTCTGAGTCCTTTACAGGAATGTGTTACCAAATAATTTGGCCCACATAAGAACTCTTAGGTGTGTACAAATACATGTGGGTGACTGTACTTACAGGGGTAAAGAAGGCATAATTATTTTTAGAGATTCAAATTAAGTGTTAGGAAAACTAAGTACCTGTATACAGTATATAGACAAGAGTAGGAATTCAGGTAAAAGAAGGTACTGTAATAAGAAAGAGAGATTTGCCACTTTGTTTTGGAATGGAAAAGCTGTACTTTCTATATAGATCATTCTTTTCATTCATTTATTGATATTAGCCAATTATTAAAAACTTAAATTTCATTTCAGCATTATTGTTCATGGCGTCAACCTATCTGAAGATGCAACGGCAACCATAAATGTACTCCGAGAGAAGCTAGTTTGGGCAAAAAACCAGCTGCTGGCCACAACGAGTGTTCATGAAGCACAAAAACTTGTTGAACTTATTACTGAAGTCTGCAAGGCTATTACTGCACTTAGAGATCTTTAATTGTATTGTTATAAAACTATTAAAACAAGTGTGATATGTGTGCTACAGCTTTTATATTTAACCTTAAAATCTTTTAATTTTGCAGACTTCAGCAGTTTCATCTTGAACATATAGTACACTGTGTGTGTGCAGGGGTGGATCCAGGAATAACAAAAGGGGTGGGATCCAAGAAGTTGTGGGTGGGGGAACCTGGTGAGTGCAGCGAGCCCACTCAGCATTTTGAAGCCATGTGCTCTTGATATTAGGAGATATTATGAAGTTAATAGTAAACACTTTTACAATACAAAAATGTCTGAGTACAATACTGCATTAAAGAAAAAGTTTTGTAATTTTCTGGTGAAAATTGGGTTTTCCAGACCCTCAGGTTCCCTCCCCCATCCTGGATCCGCCCTTGGTGTGTGTGTGTGTGTGTGTGTGTGTGGGTATGTGTGAGTGCATGCACATATACAATATGAACAAGGAATTTCCATTACTTTACTCAACTGGGAATTGTAACTAGAACACTATGCTTGCAAGATTACCACATACACACAGCTGGACTACTGTACTATACACCCTGCTTATATGGAACCCGTAGTTATTGGAATGGTTAATCAAGTCACGCTTACAAAGTTCTCCTGCACGACACCCATCTACAGTGACCGTGATCGACACAAGAGATTAAGTGTGTTAACCTAGGTTTGTATTCCCCGTGGAGAAATCACAAGTGGAAGCCTGGTTGCGACAAAAGCAATCCAGGCTTGCCTACTGAACCTAAGTGGTTAATCAAGTCATGCTTACCAGTTCTCCTTGCCGCGACAACCGTCTACAGTCTCTGTCAGTGACGCAAGACTATGTGTGGTAATCCAAGAGTACCGTTTTGTTGTTATTCCCCGTGGAAAGAAGTTCTTGTGCGGAAACCTCATTGCAACAAGAGCAATCCAGGCTGGCAGTAAATGTATCACTTGAAGAATTAAGGCTCTGTTAACTCATACCCATAGTAAAGTAATCACATGTGTCGCCAAGTTGAAAATTCCCTCTTTTAGATGATTAATTTTATTACTGCGTGAATGTGAGTGACTCATATATCCATGCAAATTGTAAATCATTGTATGGAAGCTTGCCAAATAAATGTAAGTGCAATTATCTGCCCGTATCTGTGATCCTATCTTATGATTACTAAAGGAAATGACTGATTGGTTATGACAAAGTATAACCAATAACTTAGATGGATGTTGGAAATTTATGGAACTCATTAAATCATCACTTATCAAGTATAAATCATGGAATGTCGGGTGGTGGAGTGAATTTCTACGTAGATACACCATAATCTCCTGTAAGTAACCAGTGTGAAGGTCTCGAACTCTACGGTAAGAAATAAGAAATACGACATAATATAACCTTATATAACATCCACACCTAGACTTTACAAAAATCCATGATATATAGTTGTCCTCCTAACTCATTGACTCCTCCATTCTCTGCAGCTGTTCCAGGAGCAGCAGGTCCTCTGTGCTGAGTTCTCAGAGTGGCTCTCCAAGACCTCAGCCACATTCCCAGGGACGGCATCACCCTAGGGGCCCTGCCAGGGATGGCGACGCCCCCAAAGACCCTGCCAGGGATGGCGACGCCCCCAAAGACCCTGCCAGGGATGGCGACGCCCCCAAAGACCCTGCCAGGGGCCCTCTGAGGGACGGCGCCGACCCCAGGGGCTCTCCCAGGGATAGCGGTGCCCCCATGGGCCCTGCCATGGGTGTTGTCGCCCCCAGGGACAGTGGCATTCCCATGGGCCCTGCCAGGGGCGGTGGCACCCCCAGAGGCCTTGCCACAGATGGCAGCGCCCACAAGGGCTCTCCCAGGGACCATCTCAGAGATGGGAGCGCCCCCATGGGCCCTCCCAGGGAAGGTGGTGCACCCAAAGGCCCTAGGGCGATGGCTCCCAGGAAAGGCGGTGCACCCAAAGGCCGTGGGGCGCTGGCGACCCCAGGGGGGCTCCCATAAATGGCGGCTCTCCCAAGGGCTGTGCCAGGACTGTGGCACTCCCAGGGCCCTCTCAGGGACAATGGCGACCTCAGAGGCCCTCCCAGGTACGGCGGCACCCCAAAAGCCCGGCCAGGGGCACTGGCACCCCCAGGTGCCTTCCCAGGGATGCTGATGCCCCCGGAGCCCTCCCAGGCGTCCTGCAATGGGAGGTGGCGCTCTCAGGGGCCCTGACAAGGATAGCAGCGCCCCCAGAGGCTTTGCCAAGGACGGTGTCACCCCCAGGGTCGCAGTCGGGGACGGCGGTGACCCCCGGGGCTCTCCCAGGGACGCCGGCGCCCCCAGGGGCATTGCCGGGGCCCTCCCAAGGACGCCGGCGCCCTCAGGGGCCCTGCCTGGGGCGAGGGAGATGTCAGGTGTCTCCCAGGGACAGCAGCGCTCTCAGGGCCTCTACTAGGGGGCTGGTGCCTCCAGAGGCCTTCTCAGGGCAGTGGTGCCCCCAGGGGCCCTCCCACACACGGCGGTGCCTGCAGAGACCCTCCCAGGGACGATAGCACCCCAAAGGCCCTGACAGATGCGCTGGCACCCCCAGGAGCCTACCACTGAATGGCGGCGACCCAAGGGACTCTCCCATGGACAGTGACTCTCCCAGGGACAGCAGGGCTCCCAAGGGCCATCCCAGGGACGGCAGCATCCCCCAAGGACCCTGTCAGGGACGATGGCACCCTCAGGGGCCCTGCCAGGGATGGCAGCACCCCGAGAGGCACTCCTAGGGGCAGTGCTGACACCAGGGACCGTAAGAAGGGCCTTCAGGGGCCCTATGGCATGTTTGTCCATCGTGTCATTTACAGTATATTACATACTTCCACCAGTCTTGTACTTAACTCTCATTGGTGGACTATTCTTTTAACCTACCAAATTACAGCCAATTGGAGAAGAGAGCAGTCAGTCAGCACAACACCACAACTTATGTTTTCCTGTTGGATATTATTCTCCGTTACCTTCTTCAGAAAGTTGTGATACTGGAAATGTGATGGGCGATGTATATATTTAACATTGCTTCTTCCAGAGCTGTATATAGCGCAAAAATTACTACAAATAGTGGCCCTCCCAGAAACAGCAGTGCTCCCAGAGGTCCTCACAGGGGGCGGCAGTGCCCTAAAAGGCCCTGCCAGCGTCTCTAGGGCCCCCAGGGGCCCTCCCAAAAACGGTGGCAGTCCCAGGGACGGCAGCGCCCCCAGAGGCCCTCCTAGTGATAGCTGCGAACCCAGGGGCTCTGCCAGTGACGGTGGCACTCCCAAGGGCTGTGCCAGGGGTGGTGGTGCCCCCAGGGGCCCTCCCAGATATGGTTGAGCTCCCAGGGGCCCTGCCAGGAGAGCTGGCGCCCCCTGGGGCTCTTCCAGAGACAGCAGGGCTCCGAAGGGCCATCCCAGGGACGGCAGCATCGACAGAGACCCTGGCAGGGACGGTGGCGGCCTTAGGAGCTCTCCCAGGGACAGCGGCGGTTCCAGGAGGCCCTCCCAGGGGTGGGGCCGACCCCAGGGACCGTAAGAAGTGTCACCAGGTGCCCTATGGCTTGCTTGTCTATCGTGTCATTTACAGTATATTACATACTTCCACCAGTCTTGTACTTAACTCTCATTGGTGGACTATTCTTTTAACCCATCAAATTACAGCCAATAGGAGAAGAGAGCTATTAGTCAGCACAACACCACAACTTATGTTTTCCTGTTGGATATTATTCTCCGTTACCTTCTTCAGAAAGCTGTGATACTGGAAATGTGATGGGCGATGTATTTATTTAACGTTGCTTCTTCCAGAGCTCTATATAGCGCAAAAATTACTACAAATAGTGGCCCTCCCAGAAACAGCGGTGCTCCCAGGGGTCCTCACAGGGGCGGCAGTGCCCTAAACGGCCCTGCCAGCGTCTCTAGGGGGCCTTCTCAGAAACGATGGCAGTCCCAGGGACGGCAGCGCCCCCCAGAGGCCCTCCCTGTGATAGCTGCAAACCCAGGGGCTCTGCCAGTGACGGCGGCGCTCCCAAAGGCTGTGCCAGGGGTGGTGGTACCCCCAGGGGCCCTCCCAGATATGGCTGAGCTCCCAGGGGCCCTGCCAGGAGAGTTGGTGCCTCCTGGGGCTCTTCCTGATACAGTAGGGCTCCCAAGGGCCATCCCAGGGATGGCAGTGTCACCAGAGACCCTGGCAGGGAGGGTGGCGCCCTTAGGGACTCTCCCAGGGACAGCGGCGCGAGCAGCAGCAAACCCGGGGTGGCGCCGACCCCAGGGACCGTAAGAAGTGTCTCCAGGCGCCCTATGGCATGTTTGTCCATCGTGTCATTTACAGTATATTACATACTTCCAGCAGTCTCGTACTTAACTGTTATTGGTGGACTATTCTTTTAACCCACCAAATTACAGCCAATAGGAGAAGAGAGCAGTCAGTCAGCACAACACCACAACTTTTGTTTTCCTGTTGGATATTATTCTCCGTTAACTTCATCAGAATGCTATGATACTGGAAATGTGATGGGCGATATAATTACTTAACGTTGCTTCTCCCAGAGCTCAAAATAGCGCAAAAACTACTGCAAATAGGGGCCCTCCCAGCAAAGGCGGCGTTGTCAGGGGCCCTCACACGGGCAGCAGCGCCCCCAAAGGCCCTGCAAAAGTCTCTATGGCCCCAGGGGCCCTGCCAGAAACGTCAGTACTCCCAGGAATGGCAGCACCCCCAGTGGTCCTCCCAGATACGGCTGAACTCCTAGGGGCCCTGCCAGGAGAGCTGGCGCCCCCTGGGGCTCTTCCAGAGACAACAGGACTCCCAAGGGCCATCCCACGGACGGCAGCATTCCCAGAGACCCTGGCAGGGGCGGTGGTGCCCTTAGGGGTTCTCCCAGGGACAGCGGCACGAGCAGGGGCCTCCGAGGGGTGGAGCCGACCCCAGGGACCGTTACCCCAAGGTTACTCCCAGGGACAGCGTTGCTCCCACGTGCCTTCACAGGGACGTCAACGCCCCCAGGGGCCCTGCCAGGAGTGCTGGCGCCCCAAGGTGCTCTTCCAAGGACATCGGTGCTCCCAGGGGTGGCACTGACCCAGGGACCATAAGAAATGTCTCAAGGGGCCCTTTGGCATGTTTGTCCATAGTGTCATTTACAGTGTATTACATACTTCCAGCAGTCTCGTACTTAACAGTGATTGTTGGACTATTCTTTTAACTCGCGAAATTACAGCCAATAGGAGAAGAGAGCAGTCAGTCAGCACAACACCTCAACTTATGTTTTCCTATTGGATATTATTCTCCGTTAACTTCTTTAGAATCTTATGATACTCCTAGAGCTCTAAATAGCGCAAAAACTACCGCAAATAGGGGCTCTCCCAGAAAAGGCAACAGTGTCAGGGGACCTCACAGGGGGGACAGCGCCCCCAAAGGCCCTGCAAAAGTCTCTATAGCCCCCTGGGGCCCTCCTAGAAACGGCGGTACTCCCCGGAATGGTGGCGCCCCCACAGGTCCTCCCAGCCATAGCGGCGACCCCAGGGGCTCTGCCAGTGATGGCGGCGCTCCCAAGGGCGGTGCTAGAAGCAGTGGCGCCCCCAGAGGCACTACCGGAAACTGCTGCGCTCCCAGGCCCCTGCCAGGAGAGCTGGCGACCCCAGGGGCTCTTAAAGGTACAGCAGGGCTCCCAAGGGCCATCCCAGGGACGACAGCATCCCCAGGGAACCTGGCAGGGGCGGTGGCGCCCTCAGGGGGTCTCACAGGGACAGCAGCGTTTCCATGGGCCATCCCAGGGACGGAAACGTCCCCAGGGGCCTTCCTAGAAACGGTCGCACTCCCAGGGACCCTGCCAGGAGCGGTGGCAACCCCGAGGCCCTCTCGTGGATAGCGGTGCCCCCATAGACTCTCCCAGGGGCGGTGGCGCCCTAAGGGGCCCTGACAGGGACGTCATCAACCCCGGGGCATCTCCCAGGGACAGCGGCGCTACCAGGGGCCGTCTCATGGGTGGCGCCGATCCCAGGGACCGTAAGAAGTGTCTCAAGGGGCCCTATGGCATGTTTGTCCGTCATGTCATTTATAGTATTTTACATACTTCCAGCAGTCTCGTACTTAACTGTGATTGATAGACTATTCTTTTAACCCACCAAATTACAGCCAATAGGAGAAGAGAGCAGTCAGTCAGCACTACACCACAACTTATGTTTTCCTGTTGGATATTATTCTCCGTTAACTTCTTCAGAATGCTATGATACTGGAATTGTGATGGGATATGTATTTATTTAATGTTGCTTCTCCCAGAGCTCTAAATACCACAAAAACTACCGCAACCAGTGGCCCTCCCAGAAATGGCAGCGATCCCAGGGGCCCTGCCAGGGGCTGTGTCACCCCGTGTGTCCTGCCAGGGGCGGTGGTGCCCCCAGTGTTGCTCCCAGGGGCCTTCCCAGGGATGTCAACGCCCACAGGGGCCCCACGGGTCTCTTCCAGGGACATCGATGCTCCCAGGGGTGGCACTGACCCAGGGACCATAACAAATGTCTCAAGGGGCCCTTTGGCATGTTTGTCCATAGTGCCATTTACAGTATATTACATACTTCCAGCAGTCTCGTACTTAACTGTGATTGGTGGACTATTCTTTTAACTCGCCTAATTACAGCCAATAGGAGAAGAGAGCAGTCAGTCAGCACAACACCACAACTTATGTTTTCCTATTGGATATTATTCTCCATTAACTTCATCAGAATGCTATGATACTCATAGAGCTCTAAAAAGTGCAAAAACTACTGCAAATAGAGGCCCTCCCAGAAACGGCTGCATTGTCAGGGGCCCTCACAGGGGGTGCAGCGCCCCCAAAGGCCCTGCAAAAGTCTCTATGGCCCCCAGGGGGCCTCCCAGAAACGGCGGTACTTCCAGGAACGGCGGTGCCCCCAGAGGTCTTCCCAGCCATGGCGGCGTCCCCAGAGGCTCTGCCAGTAATGGCGGCGCTCCCAAGGGTGGTGCTGGAAGCGGTGGCGCCCCCAGAGGCACCCCCAGAATCGGCTGCGTTCCCAGGCCCCTGCCAGGAGAGCTGGCGACCCCAGGGGCTTTTAAAGGTACAGCAGGGCTCCCAGGGACGACAACATTTCCAGGGACCCTGGCAGGGGCAGTGCCGCCCTCAGGGAGCCTCACAGGGACAGCAGCGTTTCCATGGGTCATGCCACGGATGGAAACGCCCCTAGTGGCCTTCCCAGAAACGGACGTGCTCCCAGGGACCCTGCCAGGAGCGGTGGCAACCCCGAGGCCCTCTCAGGGATAGCGGTGCCCCCATAGACTCTCCCAGGGGCAGTGGCGCCCTAAGGGGCCCTGATAGGGACGTCATCGGTCCCGGGGGATCTCCCAGGGACAGCGACGCTACCAGGGGCCGTCCCAGGGGTGGCGCCGATGCCTGTGACCATAAGAAGTGTGACAAGGGACCCGATGGCATGTTTGTCCATCGTGTCATTTACAATATATTGCTGTGATTGGTGACTATTCTTTTAACCCACCAAATTACAGCCAATAGGAGAAGAGAGCAGTCAGTCACCACAACACCACAACTTATGTTTTCCTGTTTGATATTATTATCCGTTACTTTCAGCAGAATTCTTTGATACTGGAAATGTGATGGGCGATGTATTTATTTTTTGTTGCTTCGCCCACAGCTCTAAATAGCGCAAAAACTACAGCAAATAGGGTCCCTCCCAGATATGTCGGCTCTCACAGGGGCCCTCACTGGGGCTGCAGCACCTCCACAGGCTCTCACTGGGGCGGCAGCGCCTCCAAACGCCCTGCCAGGATCACTAGGGCCCCCAGGGGCCCTCCCAGAAACGGCGGCAGCCCCAGGGATGGCGGCGCCCCCACAGGCCCTGCCAGTGATGGCTGCAAACTCAGGGGCTCTGCCAGTGTCGGTGGCGCTCCCAAGGGCAGTGCAAGGGATGGTGGTGCCCCCAGGGGCCCTCCGAGATATGGTTTAGCTCCCAGGGTCCCTGCCAGGAGAGCTGGCGCCCCCTGGGACTCTTCCAGAGACAGCAGGGCTCGCGAGGGCCATCCCAGGGACTGCAGCATCCCCAGAGGCCCTGGCAGGGGCAGTGGCGCCCTTAGGAGCTCTCCCAGGGACAGCAGCGGTCCCAGGGGCCCTCTCAGGCGTGGTGCCGACCCCAGGGACTGTAGGAAGTGTCATCATGTGCCCTATGGCTTGCTTGTCCATCGTGTCATTTACAGTATATTACATACTTCCAGCAGTCTCGTACTTAACTCTGATTGGTGGACTATTCTTTTAACCAATCAAATTACAGCCAATAGGGTAAGAGAGCAGTCAGTCAGCACAACACCACAACCTATGTTTTCCCGTTGGATATTATTCTCTGTTACCTCCTTCAGAATGCTATGATTCTGGGAATGTGATGGGCGATGTATTTATTTAACGTTGCTTCTCTCAGAGCTCAAATAGCGCAAAATCTACTGCAACCAGGGGACCGGCCAGGGCCGGTGGCGCTCTGAGGGGCCCTGCCAGGGATGTTGGCGCCCCCAGGGTTGCTCCCAGGGACATCGGTGCTCCAACGGGACTTTCCAGGGACGTCAATACACACAGGGGCTCTGCCAGGAGTGCTGCTGCCCTAAGGGGCTCTTCAAGGGACATCGGTGCTCCCAGGGGTGGCACCAATCCCAGGGACCATAAGAAGTGTTTCCAGGCGCCCTATGGCATGCTTGTCCATCGTGTCATTTACAGTATATTACATACTTCCAGGAGTCTCGTACTTAACTATGATTGGTGACTATTCTTTTAACCCACCAAATTACAGCCAATAGGAGAAGAGAGCAGTCAGTCAGCAAAACACCACAACTTATGTTTTCCTGTTTGATATTATTATCCGTTACTTTCAGCAGAATACTATGATACTGGAAATGTGATGGGCGATGTATTTTTTTAATGTTGCTTCGCCCAGTGCTCTAAACAGCGCAAAAACTACTGCAAATAGGGTCCCTTCCAGATATGCCGGCTCTCACAGGGGCCCTCACAGGGTCTGCAGCGCCTCCACAGGCACTCAGAGGGGCGGCAGCGCCTCCAAAGGCCCTACCAGGATATTTAGGGCTCCCAGGAGCCCTCCCAGAAACTGCGGCAATCCCAGGGACGGCGGCGCCCCCAGAGACCCTCCCAGCGATGGCTGTGAACCCAGGGGCTCTGCCAGTGACAGCGGCGCTCCCAAGGGCGGTGCCAGGGGTGGTGGTGCCCCTGTGGGCCCTCCTATATACGGTGTAGCTCCCAGGGGCCCTGCCAGGAGAGCTGGCGCCCCCTGGGACTCTTCCAGAGACAGCAGGGCTCCCAAGGGCCATCCCACGGACGGCAGCGTCCCCAGAGACCCTGGCAGGGGCGGTGGCGCCCTTAGGAGCTCTCCCAGGGACAGTGGCACGACCAGGGGCCCTCCCAGGGGTGGCACCGATCCCAGGAACCGGAAGAAGTGTCCCCAGGCGCCCTATGGCATGCTTGTCCATCGTGTCATTTGCCGTATATTGCATACTTCCAGTAGTCTCGTACTTAACTGTGATTGGTGGACTATTCTTTTAACCCATCAAATTACAGCCAATAGGAGAAGAGAGCAATCAGTCAGCACAACACCACAACTTATGTTTTCCTGTTGGATATTATTCTCCGTTACCTTCTTCAGAATGTTGTGATACTGGAAATGTGGTGGGCGATGTATTTATTTAACGTTGCTTCTCCCGGAGCTCTAAACAGCCGAAACACTATTGCAACCAGGGGCCGTCCCTGAAGAAGGTAACGGAGAATTATCCAACAGGAAAACATAAGTTGTGTTGTTGTGCTGACTGACTGCTCTCTTCTCCTTTTGGCTGTAATTTGGTGGGTTAAGAATATAGTTCACCAAACACAGTTAAATATGAGACTGCTGGAAGTATGAAATATACAGTATTTGACACTATGGACAAGCATGCCATGGGGATCCTGGGGACCGTTCTTAGGGTCTCTGTGGTCGGTGCTGCCCCTGGGATGGCCCCTGGGAGCACCGCTGTCCCTCGGAGACCACTTGGGGTCGCCGCCGTCCATGGGAGGGTCCCTTTGGGCGACCTCATCCCTGACAGGGCCACTGGGAGATCCGGGGTCTTTAAGAGGGCCTCTGGGGACGCCAGTGCCCTGGGAGAGCCCCCGGGGTCGCCGCCGTCTATGAGAAGGCCCCTGACGGCATTAGTGCCTCTAGCAGGGGCTTTGATTGCGCCACCGTCCCTGGGAAGCCTGCTGGGGTCGCTGCCGTCTTTGAGATGGCCCCTTGGAGCGCCGCTGTCCTTGTAGAGAGATCCTGACTTCGCTGCTGTCCCTGACTGGGCCCCTGGGGGCACCACCGCCCCTTTCAGGCCCCTAAGGGCACCAAGGCCCCTGCCAGCGCCCCTGGCAGTGTCCCCGAGGGCTCAGTCTTCCTTGGGAGGGCTCTTGGACGAGCCGCTATCCATGGGAGAGCACCTTGGGTCTCCGCCGTCCAGTGGAAGGCCAATGGAGGCGCCATCGTCCCTGTCAGGGCCTTTGGTGGTACCCCTGGGGGTGTCACAATCTCTGGTAGGGCCGGTGAGTACGCCACTGCCACTGAGAGTGGCCCTGGGGGCGCCAGCATCCCCAGGAGGGCCCCTGGGGGCGCCACTGTCCTTGGGAGAGTTCCCGGGGACGTCGCCGTCCCTGGGAGGCCCCATGGACGCGCCACCGACCCTGACATGACCCTTGGGAGCGCCTACGGTCCTGGGAGAGCCCCAGGGTCGCTCCCATCCCTGGGAGGGCTTCTGGGGGCACGCCCGTTCCTTGGAGCCCCGCCGTTTCTGGGAGGGCCCGTCGGGGCCCTAGCGACCATGGCAGGGCCTTTGGGGGCATTGCCGCTCCTGGGAGGGCTTTTGGGAGCGCCACTGCCCCTGGCAAGACCCCTGGGAGCGCCGCCACCCCTGGCAGGGCTCCTAGGGGCGCCGCCGGCCTTGGGAGGGCCCTTGGAGGCACCTCTGTCCATGGGAAAGCCCCTGTCAGGGGTTTTGTAGGCACTACCGTCCCTTGGAGGGCTCCTGGGGCTCTGTCATCTATGAGAGGGCCCCTGGGGACACCACTGCCCCGAAGAGGCCCCTGGGGACACCACTGCCCCGAAGAGGCCCCTGGTTGCAGTAGTTTTTGCGCTATTTAGAGCTCTGGGAGAATCAACGTTAAATAAATATATCGCCCATCACATTTCCAATATCATAGCATTCTGATGAAGGTAACGGAGAATAATATCCAATTGGAAAACATAAGTTTTGGTGTTGTGCTGACCGACTGCTCTCTTCTCCTATTGGCTGTTATTTGGTGGGTTAAAAGAATAGTCCACCAATTACAGTTAAGTACGAGACTGCTGGAAGTATGTAATATACTGCAAATGACACGATGGACAAGCATGCCATAGGGCACCTGGAGACACTTCTTACGGTCCTTGGGGTCGGCACCACCCCTGGGAGGACCCTGCTTGCGCCGCTGTCCCTGGGAGAGCCCCTAAGGGCGCCACCGCCCCTGCCAGGGTCTCTGGGGACGCTGCCGTCCGTGGGATGGCTCTTGGGAGCCCTGTTGTCTCTGGAAGAGTCCCAGGGGGCGCCAGCTCTCCTGGCAGGGCCCCTGGAGCTCAGCCATATCTGGGAAGGCCCCTAGGGGCACCACCGCCCCTGGCACGGCCTTTGGAGGGCGCCGCCATTTCTGGGAGGGTCCCTGGGGGCCCTAGAGACACTGGCAGGACCTTTTAGGGCGCTGCCGCCCCTGTGAGAACCCCTGGGAACGCCGCTGTTTCTGGGAGGGCCCCTATTTGCAGTAATTTTTGCGCTATATAGAGCTCTGGAAGAAGCAACGTTAAATAAATACATCGCCCATCACATTTCCAATATCATCATAGCATTCTGATGAAGGTAAGGGAGAATAATATCCAACAGGAAAACATAAGTTGTGGTGTTGTGCTGACTGACTGCTCTCTTCTCCTATTGGCTGTAATTTGGTAAATCAAAAGAATAATCCATCAATCACAGTTAAGTACGAGACTGCTGGAAATATGTGATATACTGTAAATGACACGATGGACAAGCATGCTATAGGGCGCCTGGAGACACTTCTTACGGTCCCTGGGCTCGTCGCCACCCTTGGAAGGGCCCCTGGGAGCACCGATTTCCCTGGAAGAGCCCCTTGGGGCACCATCACTCCTGGCAGGGCCTCTGGGAGGGACCATGGGGGCGCTGTCGTCCCTGTAAGGGCCCCAGGGAGCGCCGCTGTCCCTGGGAGATACCCGTTGGGTCGTCGCCATCTAAAAGAGGGCCCCCTGGGGGCGCTACCGGCTATGGAAGGGCCCCTTGGGGCACCGCTGTCTATGGAAGGGCCCATGCGGACGCAACTGTCCTTGAGAGCGGCACTAATCTTCGGAGAGCCCCTGGTGGCTCTCTCGCACCTGAAAGGGCCCTTGGGGGCGCTGGCGTCCCTGGGAGTGCACCTGAGGAAGCCGGCGTCTCTAGGAGGGCAGCTGCCGATGCCGTTGTCCATGGGTAGAGCTCCCGGGGACACCGCCGTCTCTGGGATGGCCCCTGGGAACATCGCTATCCCTGGGAGAGCCCCTGGGGTCGCTGCCGTCCCTGGTAGGACCCTTGAGGGCGCCACCGCCCCTGGTAGGGCCCCTGTGGGCGCCGGCGTCTCTAGGAGGGGCCCTGGCGACACCAGTGACCCGGGGAGAGCCCCCAGTGCTCCTACGGGTGCCAGCGCCCTTGACAGGTCCTTTGGGTGTGTCACCGTCCTTGGTAGGGCTGCTGGGAACGCTGCCGTCTCTGAGATGGCCCCCTGGGAGCGCCGCTATCCCTAGGAGAGACACTGGTGACGCTGACGGCTCTGGCAGGGAGCCTGGGGGCGCCACCGCCCTTGGCAGGGCTCCAAGGAGGGCCTCTGTGGATGCCAGCGTCTCTGTGAAGACCCCTGGGGGCACCAGCACCCCAAGCAGAGCTTTTGGGGGCACTGTCATCCCTGGGATGGCCCCTGAGGGCGCCGGCGTTTATAGGAGAGCCTCTGGGGGCACCACTGCCCCTAGCAGGGCCCCTTGGAGCGCCACTGTTCCAGGGAGATCTCCTGGTGGCTTCATCGCCCCTGGCAGGGCCCTTAGTGGCACTGGCGTCCCCAGGAGGGCCTCTGGGGGTGCCACTGTCCTTAGGAGAGGCCCCGGGTTCACCGCCGTCCCTGGTAGGGCCCCCAAGGGCGCCATCGCTCCTGTCAGAGCCTCTGGGGGTGCTGCTGTTCGTGAGAGGGACCCTGGGGCCTCCACCGCCCCTTGCAGGTGTATCTTGAGATGCTGCCTTCTCTGGAATGGCCCCTGGGAGCGCCGCTGTCCCTGGAAGAGCCCCTTGGGAACGCCAGCGCTCCTGGTGGGGCCCCTGGGAGCGCAGCCGTTTATGGGAGTGCCACTGGGAGCGCTGCCGTCCCTTGAAGGGCCCCTGGGAGAGCTGTTGTCCCTAGGAGAGCCCCTGGGGGCACAGCCACCCCTAGCAGGAACCCTGGGAGCGCCGCCGTCCCTGGGAGGGCTCCTGGGGGCGCTGCCGTCTCTGAGATAGCCCCAGGGAGCGCCGCTGTCCTTGGGAGAGCACCTGGGGGCGTTGAGGTCCCTGGCCGGGCCCCTGAGGGCGCCACCGCTCTTGACAGGGCTCCTGAGGGTGCCATTGCCCCTGAGAGGGCTCCTGGAGCCGCCAGCGCCCCTAACAGGGCATCTGGGAGCTCCTTCCGTTCCTGGGAGAGACCCTGGGTGCGCCGCTGTCCCTAGGAGAGCCCCTGGATTTGCCGCCGTCCTTGACAGGGCCCCTGCGGTTGCCGCCGTCCCTGGGAGAACCCTGTCGGCGCTGCCGTCCCTGGGAGGGTCCCTGGCAGGGCCTTTAGGGGCGCCGCCGTCCCTGGGAATGCTGCCGTTTTTATGAAGGCCCCTGGTTGCAGTAGTTTTTGCGCTATTTAGAACTTTGGGAGAAGCAACTTCAAATAAATACATCGCCCATCACATTTCCAGTATCAGAGCATTTTGTAGAATGTAACGGAGAATAATATCCAACAGGAAAACATAAGTTGTGGTGTTGTGCTAACTGACTGCTCTCTTCTCCTATTGACTGTAATTTGGTGGGATAAAAGAATAGTCCACCAATCACAGTTAAGTAAGGGACTGTTGGAAGTATGTAATATGTATGACAAGCATGACATCGGGCCCCTGGGGTCGGCGCCGCCCCTGGGATCGCCGCTATCCCTGGCAGGGCCGTGCATGCCGCCACCGCCCCTGAGGGGACCCCTCGGAGCGCCGTTCTCCCTGGGAGAGCTCCTGTGGGCGCTGCCGTGCATGAGCGGGCCCCTGGGAGCGTCGCTGTCCCTGGGAGAGCCCCTGGGGGCGCCAGCACCCTTGGCAGGGCCCCTGGGAGCGTCGCTGTCACTGGCATGGCTCCTAGGGGCGCCACCGCCCCTGAGAGGGCCCCTGGGAGCACCGCTGTCCTGGAAGAGCCCCTGGGGGCGCCACCATCCCTGGAAGCGCCGATGTGTTTGTATTGGCCTCTAGGGGCGCCAACGCCCCTGAGAAAGCCTTTGGGAGCCCCGCTGTTCCTGGGAGCGCCGTCGTTTCTGTGAGGGCCCCTGGGAGCACGACTGTTCTTGTCATGGGCACTGGGGGCCCCACCACCCCTGAGAGGGCTCCTGGGAGCGCTGCTGTCCCTAGCATGGCCCCTGGGGGTGCCACCACCCCTGAGAGGGGGCCCTTGGGAGCGCAGCTGTCCCTGGCATAGGCCCTGGTGGCGTCGCCGTCCCTGGAAGAACTCCTGGGAGCGCCACCGTTTCTGGGAGGGCCCCTGGTGGGAACCACCACGACGGCGAGGGCCCCTGGGAATGATCGCTCTCCTTGGCATAGCCCCAGGTGGCACCGCTGTCCCTGCGAGGGTCCCTGGGAGTACCATGACTCCTGGCAGGGCCATTGGGACGCTGCCGTCCCTGGGAGGGCCCCTGGTTGCGCTGATGCCCCGAAGGAGAACCCCGGCGGGCACCATCACCCCTGTGTATGCCCCTGGAACCACCACCGCCTCTGGGAGAGCCCTTAGGGGCACCGTCGCCCTTGGGAGAGCCCCTGGGGTCGCCACCGCCTCTTGGAGGGCCCCCGCCGCCACTGGGAGGGCTCTTGAGGACGCCGGTGCCCGTGGATGGGGCTCTCGGGGCGCCGGCACCCATGGGAGGGCCCTGAAAGCGCCGTGGTCCCTGGGAGGGCCCTTGGGGGCGCCACCGCCCATGCAGGGCCTCCGCGGCTCTGCCGGCCCTGGGAGGGCCCCTGGGGTTGCCGATCCCCCTGAGGGCATCGCAGCATTTGGGAAGGCCCCTGCAGGAGCCTCTGCCCCTGGGAGGGCCCCTGGGGTGCCGCTGCCCCTGGGCGGGCCCCCGGAAGTGCCACCACCTGTAGGAGGGTCCTTGAGAGCACCATCGCCCCTGCGAGAGCCCCTTGTGTTTGGTTATAGTTTTAACCCCCATCCTTCATCAGTTGTTAGACAAATGGTAGTTGTGTGAGTACCAGATGTAGCGCCATGGTGTGTGTATAGTGTGCAGTACAAAGTTGGCTCCTGTACGTCTGTGGAGTCTTAACAAAAAGATACAGAAGGCACAGGTTCTGTATTTTTTGTTACGATTCCCTGGACGTTGTGATGAAAGGAGATAAAGAGAGGGGGAGGTCTCTGTGCGCGCTGGACAGCGGATAGGGGACAGTTGCACTGTCATATGGTTGTGTTAAGCAAGAAATACTAATTATCTGAATTATGGTACTTTACATTTTGCTGAAGTATCATTGAAATAAACAAATAAAACACTATTGCATCCTGTCTGCTATAGTATGTGGACATATGTCATTCTCTTTATGTCAACTTTGGGTCAAACCTGAGTCATGCATGGTAAAATGTGCATTTGCATTAGAAATGGTATTTATATGCATGTTTAGTATGCCACAACAATATGCTATATCAGAGATGATGCTTTACCTGTCACGTAAGTGACAATTGGTAAACAGCTAAATTCGGTGATTTCGACAGAAATGCGGCGGGCCAGACTATTAACTTTGTCTCAGAATCTGAGACACCACGTCGCCACCACCACCATACTCCATAAAGCCCAGCACTATCCTAACGTCTGTTACACTTTGCTTGAAGATAATTATAGTGCTAGATTTATACTGTGTAACCATCCAAGTTACTGTTTCAGCCTTAAATTGTCCACTGCAGGACAGATATTATTCACTCCACATTAGATGAATGAGAAGCATCCCCATTACTCCAATTAATCTATGTAAACGTCGCCAGACCATGTAATGAGTAAAATTATATCATTCTGGTCACAGGCTACTGTGTGCCCCTCACGTCTCACGGAGAAGCATAGAGGCATTGGTTTCACGCTCCGATACTCTCGGGCTCTACACCTGAAGGAAAGAGTGGAGTGATGAAAGTGAGTGTACTAGTCGTAGTGTCCTCAACTATACATGCTATTCACACCACAAGAAGGCAACACTCATACAAACACATCACACATAGTTACATCTATATCGGTATGTATGTATCTATGCTGCTTCATATTCTTCATAATTGTACATCATGATTTTACTTTCTATATTCATAATTTTTGGTTCAATAATACAGAATATACACGGAATAAATAAATCCTTTATTAAGTACTCATACACAAGATATTTAGTATACAATGCAATTGTGGATCATAACATCTTACACCTCTAATTGGACATTAAATGCTGGACTGTCTTCATCATTCTACTCTAGTTTCTTAGTAAAAAATAAAGGCTCTTGACATGACACACTGTCGCTCTTAGTGCTAACATCCTCACCTGCGAACATAGCGCCTTGTTCCAGTATTCAGACGGAGAGTCTCGAATTTCATCCTCTACATCATGGTATTAAGAAACCAACACAGCTACACTACATACCATCTTAACAGCTAGTTGACTCATCCCTATGCGAATTTGAGGGACCAATTTACTAATTTATCTGCTTTAACTTGTAGAAATGAGACTCAGTACAATACACCAATTTTTTCTCGACATATGTTAAACTAATATATATTGTATCCAGTGCTTACTTAAATGATAACTAACATTCGTACATTTAATGTATGTATGTGTGTATGTGTGTGTGTGCCTTGAATATGACTTTTTACGTTTCTCTTAATATTCCTTAATCAAAACATTACTGTACTGAAAAGATTCCTCCCGACCAAATTCATTGTTTATAGGTTTATTAAGTGAAAAATCGACACTATATATATCCTTATCATTCAGTTCTACTTAAAAGAGATCAATAGAAGAAAATATTTCCCAGTGGTTCCCTCACAGTGAAACCAACGAAATATGTATTCATTTAACCAAGAAAATAAGCGATTTCGAGATTTACAAACGGCGGAAATTGATGCAGGTGGTGAGAGGAGGCAAGTGGCAGCCGTAGTGAAGGTGGCAGAGGCAAACCCAGTATTCGACCTTTTAAATGTTACTATAATGTACAGTATTCTCGCATTGATATCTACAGTACTGCATGTAGTATCTCAAATTATATTTGCTGCTATTTCTCATCAGGAGAGTTGGTTTAAATTACCAAAAGCTAGATTTTCTTCTGATAATCATGTACAACTGCAAATCATGATCATCATTACCGTTTTATGGCCATTTTCCACGTTTCTGTGAGTTAGCCATGATAACCTTCTGGTATAGTGTTCTGGCTGCAATCGGACAAATCTGAAGCAAGTTTTACAGCTCAATGTCCTTCCTATCGCCAACCCACTTTCACAGAGTGGGAATTGGACATTATATACAGGACTTCCTTTAAGGACTTCCATCTAGTTAGGACTATCTCACAGGGAAACGATGACGAAAGCATATTCTGCTCAATCTCCAACTGCCATAGAAATTGACAAAGTAAATGTTGATTCAAAATAACAATATTTAACCATTACAGCCTGGCGTTAAGAGCTTGATTTTGAGACTTCGTAATCACAAATAATGCTTCTGGAAAAGTTTATTTCTAAATTTTAATGTACAGTACAACTGCCACAAAAAATTCTCGAACGCTCTAAGGTTCATACAATAAGACAAAATGAACGAGAAGACTGAGCATTGATCTCGGAGAAAGTTTTATTGCAAATATAATTACTACTTTTCACCCGTTTTATTGCAAATAAAATTACTACTTTTCACCTGTAAATATTATAAAGTCGAGCAACATATATTATTGTGAAATATTGAGAGTCACTTTGCGATCAGGCATACCAACCATTCTGAGAAGACGCAAGCCATGGTGCTCAGCTGTTCGAGAACTTTTTGAGGCAAGTGTATTTTACTTTCTAATATCTTAACCAAAACAACCAGCCACATAACCAATGCATCAACAAATTATATGTTAATTCACCAGATATGTATGTAAAACTGATTATCCAAAATGAATTATAAGCCTTAAAATCTTCTTTCTGTAATTTAAGAAAACACATCAAGGGAAGCAAACAAGCTGAGCACAGACTATCAACACATTTTGAAAGAGTTTAGGGAATAAACTGATAATATTCTCTAAAAATGCCTATATTCAAACTGCAAATTGTCAACAAATTCTTTTATGAAAAAAAAAATTGGGCTGAATTTTTACCACAGCCCTGTTCCATAAACTGTCCTCTTAATTAAAAGTTTTTGTGTATAAATCTATTTAAACCTAATTACTGGCGGGAACAAAGCCTTTGTCAAAGCCCGGAATGACACTCACGTGATATACAGTCACCAACACAGTCAACATTCTTGAGAAAATTACACCTGATAGATCAGACTTTTTCTTCACACCTTGTAGTGATGTGAGCTATTGACACAAAGAAGATCACCGTACTTAATTCACTAATATTTTAATCTCTGTAATTTCACGATTCTGATGCCCGAGTGATCTTCAGACTCCCTCCCTAGTCAAGAATAGACAAGTTAAGCCACAGAGATGGTTTGCTCGTACCTAGATATAATTGTTGTTGACCATGAGAACACTAGACCTTGCTGTGTCACTCTCACAGTACTAGAACACATTTTTAAAACTGTCCAAAATGAGAGGAAGGAGGACAGATTCTCCTCTCCGTAACATATTAGTAAATAAAAGCACCATTAATTATATAAATAGTCTATTCCTACTCACAGTCAGTCAATAATACAAGGAATTTATACATAAATCAATATATTAAAATTGTTAAAACTTGTAGGACAAAATCTTTGGCTTGGAAGTTGTCTACACCGAGTTGTGTTCCATGCTAAAGATTATTTGATGATAACCAGCACTTAAGGTACCACTACGTCCATCATTTATCTACCACTCAAACGACCACTTAAACAAGCAACTTTAGCCAGCTTGCTGTAATGCTTGAGGACTATTTCACTTTCTGCAGGATAAAACACTGAAAACTCTAAAACAGACAAAAATAATTACTTTCGTCTCCAGTCAGCAACATGTTCACTCGTGGGTGGATGACAGGTTATGATAATGACTGTAAGTAAACAATACAATTTGAAAATATTATCCATCATGGCAGGTGGAGAGTGGGGGTGTATGAACATAACAGGTTAGACATTAGGTTTATTCCTGACGTTTCAACTTTACAAGTTTTCTTTTGAAGACATTTTAACGAATGTGAATTCGAAACATCAAAAATAAACCTGAGCACTAACCTGTTATTTCCACACCACCACCCCCCTCCTCCCCATACACAAAACACACGCACACACACACACATATTTTCAGTGTCATCCAGTGAAGTGTAATAGTGGCATGGTAGTTTCGACATTATTAATAACACACCCTTTCCTTACTTCTATACACCACACTGTAGTGACTGTTTAAAACACAAGGGACTGACATCTTTTGTCAAATGATCATATAATTTGGTGTTTCATCAGCTCACAGCACTGGAGAACTTACAATCAATGTCCGACACACATAAAAGACATTAAGATTCCTAAATGAATCACATTCAAAATGAGGTGAGACGCAATTTACCATGATGTGCTGAAAACACACAATGAACCTCACTCTCCTCAGCACGACAGAGAGATCGATTTTGAACTTCACCAGCAAGAGTAGTATTTATAATGGCACTAAAGACTGCCATATTTAAAAAGACTTCATAATACTTGGGTTCACTTTCACACAGTTCACTTTCATATGTCTACTAATTTCTTAAGAAACCTTTATCTAATAAATCGTCAACACCATTTACAGTTTTAATATAAATATAATCAGTTTTCTTCCACTGGACCACTGTATTTCCTCAAACGCTGTAATAACTTTGTTTCATTCTTGGAACCACATAAAAACTTGTACATAGTTATATGGTGTATCAGGGGTGCAACAGGTACCCCATGCTGCATAACTTGCATACTGTTAGCATACACGTAACAGAAGATAACAAATTCGACACAACGTCTTTGTTAATATCATACGTACACAGTTTAAAAGTCACCAGAGAGCACCATAAATAATTAACTCTAAAGAAGGAGGACTAAAGTTGAATCTGGTCCCAGAGCCGAGCCAACGTCCATCCTCTGTGTCCCCACATCACGTTCCACCCTCCTCCACACACCTCAACACCCACCATCACATTCCACCCTCCTCCACCCACGATCATGTTTCACCCTCCTCCACACACCTCACCACCCAACATCACTTTTCACCTTCCTTCACACACCTCACCACCCACCATCAAGCTCCATCTTCCTCCACACTATGCCCAGGCATCACTACATCACATGGAAATTTTCCTCAGAATGTTCAGAACAGGTACAGAGGCACAAATGCATCGTTGGTAACTTTGTAACTATGCCTAAAAAGAGCTACAACGGAGAGCTGAGGGCTAACTCTGAGCACTTGGAGGAAAAGTTTGCTATTGTGAAGATGCATGGCATTATAGAACAATTATAAAAATGTAGGTATTGTTTTCACAGCATGCTGATTATAACAGTAATTATGAAGTAAAGTTTTAGACGTTTTATGTTGGTGGACAGTCGAGGATAAAAGGTGGAAAGGTTCAGATCTTTGTCACCGGTTTCGAGAGCTAGTATTTTTTCCTCGTTACTGTTCCACATTTGTAAAAACAGTAAAAAGTTATCATATAAGAGGGCGTGTTTCCCCAGGAGGATCGTCAAGTGGAAAGTGTGTTTCTAAAGGTCTTTCACGACTCTTATTTTCTTCTTCAAACACTTCATCGTCACCATAGCAATCATCATCCATCAGTGCGGTGGACTCCATACACTCATCGTGCTCAAGACTTTGTGGAGACCGTGGCTGACTGTGAATGAGGATTGCTTGACCATAATGATTTTTTGGTGTTGCATCGAGATCTTTGGGAGGAGACTCAGCGTTTTGTTCAGTGCTTGGGACTATAAGGGCCGGGGCTGCTAAGTTGGTGAAGTATAGAAGTTCTGTGCATCGAGGAGAGCGGGGTAAGTGACCGTCCGAGGGAAAGCGTGAAGGACTCGTTTGTGAAGAAGACTGCGGAAGAAGCGTCAAACTCACACATTTCCCTCCCCGTGAAAAGTCACAATTGGACATTGGAAATGGATCGCTAGAGCTGTGTACATCCACACAGGGTCCAACTGCAGGTTCATCGCCCTCTGCGTCTCTGACAACACTAACTGAATGGGAGGAGATGGTGCTCAGTTTACGTGGAATGAATGTCACAGTAAGTCCTGCCATAGGACAGCGTGGGTTTAAATAATCTTTTGAGGCCTCATGGTCTTCCTCTTCATAGCTTTCTTGTTCATATACACAAGAGAGGTTATCAGATCGTTGGTGCAGCGGGCATGTTATTTCATTTTGTCCCCCTGCTGCCTTATTGGGTATATATGTTTCACGCTCAATGGCACTCTGTCTTTGTAACCGAGGCTTGATGCGGACTGCCGATGTGATTGGGGCTGATCGTTGGCCGGATGCGCCAGACTGCTGCCTCACCAGCAGTGCTTGGTGATGATGAGTAATCTGTCGAGTTGGGATCTGTATGTGACATTCCCCTCGACGTTCTCTCAGAGACCCCAACCGTAAAGTTGGGGCCACGTCAGATTTACCCACACCTCTTGAACCACTGCTAGATATATCAGATGACACAGAAGACCGAGATATCCGCCACGTAGATGTTGAGGCTGTGGTGGCTGAGGAGTCATTACGAGAAGAGGAAAGATTGCTCTCCTGCGAAGGCTTGCGAGACAGGTACCAGGAATTGTGGTGACGACGGTCAAGTATCCGTAGGGACATGGCTGCATGGCCTCGACGCCAAGTGTCCGACCAGGAAGAACTGTAAGTCTCGCTCGAAACAGAAGTGTGACGCTTAGACTTGACAGCACTTTTGGTGGGCTGGTAACTAAAGTCGCTAGTGGAATTGAGTCCCTCAGTATCTTTGTGGCAGAAAAGGTATTTTAGTGCTGATATACGTAGGCGGTGGTGGAGTTTCTGTGATTCTTGTGTCTTGTTCTGGCAACGACACAACTGGTTATCCTGACGTGAGGAGTTCTCCAGTGCACTGTTGGTGTTGGCCGGAGTCTGGCGGTTACTAAAATTTGATGAGTGACGGCAGCGTCCAATTCCTCTCGTTACACGAGATTCTTCAATTGTCTTGCACAACATCACACAGTCTTTCTTAAACTGTTTGGTTAACAGGGCATATAAAAATGGATTACAACATGAATTAAAGGGTAGGATGAAAACAGTAAACACTTTGGCTTCTTTCAACGATATTAACTGTAATCCAAAGGCAGCAGTCAGAGAAAAGAACGCTATGGGTGCCCAACAAATAAAGTCGGTGAACACCAGGAGAGCCATCCTCTTGGCAATCCGCGAGTCATTGCTGTTCCATGCTTGAGAACCGCGGATGGCACAGTATATCTTGAGGTAACACCCCATCAAGATAAGAAAGGCAACGCCATTTATGAACATTAGAAATACTACATAACCCAGACCAGCGCCTTTCGTCTCGATGGGTAGACACACGGCAAACTTGCGATAGTCTGATACTCCGATGAGAGGTAGAAGGGCCATGGTGCAGGCGAAGAGCCAGCCCAACACCATTATGTAGGCGGCGTGCCGCAGGGAGAGACGCTTGTTGAGGTGCATTGCATGAGTGATGGCGTAGTTACGCTCCATGGTGATGACGGTGAGCGTGTAAACAGAGAGTTCGCAGCTCAGCACACCCAAGAAGCCTGCCACTTGGCACCCAACTGACGTCTGCCAAGGGATAGCATACATACGGAACTCTCCCAACGTCGAGGCATCTACCACCGCCAGGAACCCTGAGGGAAAGTTAAGATAAGGAGGACCTTGCATAATGGTATAAGTTCTTTATATTACACTTCATAAATAAATATTGTGACACTAAAAACAAACGTGATTCTACACATGTGCATTATGCTTTAGAAAAACAAATAGTTTAATAAGTTACGTAGGTAGCTAAATTATATATCAAACCTTCTCATATTTTGTGACATCCACATAATGTCAATTTTCTTTCAAATATGAAGGCAAGGTCTTCATTCTATTTTTGCAAACAATTGTACGAAACATTTTCTTTGCAAAGTCTTTGCCGGTTGGGAACAACTTATAGCTTTCACAAACATTGTCTCATGAGCTTAGCATCAGAAAAAGTTAAAATGTATACTAAAATTTTCTCTTAATTACAAGCTGAATGTAAAATATACAGTATAAAAGAATTTCTTACAGTAGGCAGTAAGAAGGTACAGGTCAAGCCATACTTGCTCCTGTGAGGCAAGTGAGTATTGTACCGTGAAGAAACAGTGTCAGTTTTGACTTACTAAGACAAAGTGAAAATGAAAGTACTAACTCACTGAGGAATGAAAGAAAACATTAAGTCACCTAAATAAAGTAGTAAAAACACCGGCTCAGATAGAAAGTGAAAGGAAACAACTAACTCACCTAGGTAGAGTCCCATGAAGAAATCGGCGAAGGCGAGGTTAGTGACGAGGAACCTGGGCACGTCCATCTTGGCTCTGGCAAACACGAGCACCACCACTACCGCGCCGTTCCCCAGCAGTGCCAGCAGGAATACTATCCATACCCCACACCGCAGTGTCCACCAGTCGAAGAGATCCTCACACGGCATAAACGGACCTGCCAACGAGGACAACATCACAAGCTGAATAGGTCACTATGGGTATACGTCAAAACTAGCTCACTACTAGCTGAATAGGTTATAGCAAGTTAGGTCACAACTAGTTGAACAGGTCACTGATAGTTGAATAGGTCACTGATAGTTGAATAGGTCATTGATAGGTGAATGAATAAGTCACTGATAGTGTCCTCAAATGTGAACAAAATACTAAATTCCTTGGGGTTATTGTTGATGAGAAACTTAATTGGAGAAACCACATGCAAGCCATTCACAGTAAAGTCAATAAACAGTGAGGTATCACACTCGGCAGTCATTCACTCTTGCAGCAATGAAAGATATCTATTATGATCTTGTTTACCAACACCGGATACACTGTAACACACTATGGGGGGCCTCTGGCTCTTCAAAAACACAACCCCTGATTACTGCACAAGAGAGAGTTGTGTGGACAATGACCTACTTGAAAATACTGATCACAATAAAGAACAATTTGCTTAATTGAAAATGTTGAAATTCGAGGATATTAACACCTACTGCTGTGCCCTATTTGTTTACAAATCTGTCAATCACTTGCTTGACAATAATTATTTCCAGTTCTAGAATAAAGAGAGATGCAACTTAAGGCACCCCGAGCTACTAAGACCACCCCCATGCGCTCCTCTAGGTCCCAGACCTCAACAAAATATCACGGTGTAAAGGTGTGGAACAACTTATCCCCACCCATCCAAGCAAAGACTATGCTTCCTTCCTTTAAATCATCTCTTAAAAAATATGTTTTGTCCAAGTACAGGTTGTACCTCTCTAGTCCGGCATTGTGTAGTCCCCAAACTCCTGTGGTCCGGAACGATTTAAGTTTGCCAAATAGCCAACATCCCTGATGTAACTCAAATGTAATTTCAGTTACAGTACCATCATTTCATATTGGAAGCAGAATTATGGAAGCATTAAAGGTAAATTAAATAGCATTCTAACAGTATTACTTTTCTTATTTATTTATTTGTTTCCTATCTTATGTTTTTATGTTTTATGTAGGATGTTTCGGGGGTGAATTTCCATGGTCCGGAAATTTCCATGGTCCTGCACCGGTCAGGTCCCGAGGTTGCCGGACTAGAGAGGTACAACCTGTACTAATATTTTTTGTAATACCTACTTTATATTCCTGCTTTTATTGTACCACCAAAAATGTTTTAGCTGAAATTGTCATGTAAGATAGATAGCAATTACCATTGCAATAAATATATTTGCCAACTTGACATGATACTGACAGCTCTGTCCTCTTGTTCCACCTTAATACAACCCATGTTGTTCTGTTTCCCATTTCAATATCAATATAGGTCACTGATAGTTGAATAGGTCACTGAGTTGAATAGGTCACTGAGTTGAATAGGTCACTGAGTTGAATAGGTCACTGATAGTTGAATAGGTCACAACTAACTGAATAGATCAGTCATGGTTGAATAGATCAGGGTAAATATGTAGAAATTGCCATGCAACGAAATTAATGTACTATGGAAATAGGTTTTTGTAGTGCACAACATCGTGTTTCATATGAGCTTGACCTTCATTTTCATTGGAAATAAGTAATTATAGAGATATGACCTCATCCCCCAATTACCAAAAATATTAGTTGCACAAAGTGAGCAGGGTTCTGAGGTAGAAAGAAATTGTGTGGTAAAAACACAAAAAAAAAACTGACAACATAAAACCTCCTTACCAAAGAAACCAGAAGTACTTGACCTAGCCTCCTAGCCAGGGGGGGCTAGTGTCTGTTTCTTATTGCAGTATCAAGTACTGTATGCTGATCTTCATTGTACCGACAGTCTGAATCACACCTTGGACACTTGACAGAAGAAGGGAGAACACCACGAGCCCTTAAAATGGCAACAGCTGCAGCTTCATTCTCAAAAACTCGCTGAATTACACGCCAATCCGTTAGTGAGTAACCTTCAAAGTCACTATCCATTTCCAAATATTTACCATGCATCTTTACAGTCATTATCTATCTTCACACAGACACTATCCATTTCCATACATTCACTATCCATCTTCATATTCTCACTATCCATCTTCATACAGTCACTGTCTATTTCCATACATTAACTTTCACTATCACTTTTCATGTTCACACAGTCACTATCCACCTCCATACAGTCACTATCCATTTCCATACATTCACAGTCACTTTTCATCTTCACACAGTCACTATTCATCTCCATACGGTCACTGTCTATTCAAACATTCACCTTTACAGTCGCTCTCCATCTTCACAGTTACTATCCATCTTCATACAGTTAAAGTCCATCTTTACAGTCACTATCCATCTTTACAGTCACTATCCATCTTCATAGTCATTATCCATCTCCATGCACTCACTATCCATCTTCCATCATCAGTCACTATCCATCGTTCGTCACTACCCATCTCTATACAGTTACTATCCATCTTCACAGTCACTATCCACATCCATACAGTCACTATCCATCTCCATATAGTCACTAACCGACTGTGAAAAAGATTTAGGAGTAATGATAAGTAGGAATCTCAAACAAAGTCAACAATGTGTATTTGCTCGAAACTAGGGTAATAAAAGTACTTGGGTTCTTACAAAGGAGTGTTAGTTACAAGACACCGAGGTCACCCTAAAACTATATCTTGCGCTTGTGAGACCTCACTTGGATTACAGTTCAGTTCTGGTCACCGTACCACACAATGGATATAGAATCTCTAGAAAGAATTCAGAGGAGAATGACAAGACTAATCCCAGGCATTAGGAACCTTGAGTACAGAGACAGGTTAAAGCATCTTAATTTTCACTCCCTCGAGAGACGTAAAGTGAGGGGTGATATGATCGAGGTGTATAAATGGAAGTCAGGGCTAAACAAAGGCGATATATTACAAAGGTACTCAAACTATTCAACCAGGAGCAAACTCATAGCAATGGTTTTAAATTAGACAAATTTAGATTTAGGCGCAATATAGAAAAACACTGGTTTGGAAACAGAGTAGTGGGTAAGCGGGACAAGTTATCAAACATCATAATTAACTCAAATACGTTGCATAGATTCAAACGTGGGTTGGATGGATATATGAGATTCCAGTATTGGCCAATAAGCCCGCTGCAGTTGACTCCGTTCTTATGTCGGGTCTACCATTCCAAGGGTCGGGTCTACCATACCAAAGGAGGGGACTTACTTATCGTCGGGTGTGTCTACAGATCTCCAAACTGTGGCCCACTAAATCAAAGGAACTTAAGAACCTTAATAAACAACATGGCAATGCTCAACCCTAGCCACCTCCTTATCATGGGGGATTTTAACTATAGCGACAGTGACTGAAGAAACGATTCCACTCCGAATGACTTGAATAACCCTGCTACTCTTTTTGTAGAAACTCTGAGAGATAATTTTCTGTTCCAACATGTTAGAGACCCGACACATTACAGAGGGGAGCAAACACCCAAGCCACTTGACCTCATCATAACAAACGAGGAGGGTATGGTGGCCAAACTGGAACACCTTGCCCCAGTTGGCACCAGTCACCATATAGTGTTGTCATTCAGATTTAACTGTTACCTAGTTCAGGATAAGGCCAGGCCAAGGTGCAAATATTACAAGGGAAATTACAATGGGATGAGGGAAGAGATGAGGGGTATCAACTGGCTTGACTCATTAAGGTACAAGAACGCAGACACTACGCTGAAGATCATAACTAGTAAAGTGACCCATTTGATCAATAAATATATACCCAAGACCAAACCCAGTGCTTCTAGGAATACGAGGGGATCCCTACACATGAACCATGAGGCGGTCGACAAAATTAAGAAGAAAACCCAGAAATTCAAGACGTGGGTTGGGTCATACGATGAGCAAGACAGGAGGATGTATGCAAGAGCCAGAAACCAAGCAAAGATAGAGTGTAGAAGGGCTGAAAAGGAGTTCCAGAGTCTGGTTGCAAGCGAGGTCAAGTCAAACCCAAAGGCGTTTTACCGCTATGCAAAGTCGAAATTGAAAACGCGAGTAGGAGTATCAGACCTGAGGCTGGTGGATGGTAGTTACGCAGATTCTCACCAGGATAAAGCTGAGGCATTGAACAGCTTCTTTTCCTCGGTGTTCATAAGAGAGGACGCAACTAACCTTCCTGCGTTTGAGGACAGACGGTTCGACACAGCACTGACCCACATTGTGTTCACAGAAGAGGGTATTAGAAATAAACTGTCCAAGCTATAGGTCCATAAGAGTCCTGGACCTGACATGGTGCATCCTAGAAAGCTAAGAGAGTTGTGCAACGAGCTTGCAGAGCCCCTGAAGATCCTGTTTTGTATATGCCTGGATGAACAAATGGTCCCCAGTGAATGGAAATGGCTTATGTGAGTCCTATTTTCAAGAAGGGCGATAGTCACTCCACGAACAACTATAGACCGGTGAGCCTGACCAGCATAATATGTAAAGTACTTGAGAGTATTATCAGAGATGCCGCAATGGAACATCTAATACGAAACAACCTTGTAAAAGATTGCCAACACGGTTTTATTCCGGGGCACTCCTGCTTAACACAATTGCTCAAGGTATTGGATATTTGGACCCATATTCTGGAACAGGGTGTTAATATCGACAATATTTACCTAGATTTTGCCAAGGCTTTCGACAGTGTACCCCACTAAGAGCTGAAAATCAAACTGGAAGGGTACGGAATTCGGGGAAATGTCCTAGTGTGGATAGAAGACTTTCTACATGACCGCAAGCAGTGTGTGGTGATTAATGGCACGAAATCGTCATCTGAACCTGTCACAAGTGGGGTACCACAGGGCAGTGTATTGGGCCGCTGTTATTTGTTTGTTTCATAAATGACATGCCTGACGTTGTACACTCCTCCATACAAATGTTAGCCGATGATGCCAAGTTATTTCGGGAAATTAAGAACAAAGCGGACTGTGAAGAGCTGCAGAAGGACCTCTGTGGGCTCCAGGAATGGTCGAAGAAATGGCTGCTGAGATTCAATGTCACGAAGTGTAAGAGGATGCACCTGGGGCGTACCAACGGTAAGGAGGCGTATCAAATGCCCTAACGGGAAGACAAAACTGCACTAGTTGAGACTGTATGTGAGAAGGACCTAGGTGTATATGTTGACAATGAGCTGAAGTTCTCGGGCCATTGAGAGAAGAAGGTGAATCAGGCAAATAAATTATTGGGTCTTATAAGAAGGTCGTTCAGATATCTAGACGGTCCGTCCCTCGTAACGATCTTAAGGAGTGAAGTGCTTCCCCATCTGGAGTACTGTCACCCCATCTGGTCCCCGAGATATGCTAGGGACTGTCAGTTGGTTGAAAATGTTCAAAGGAGGGCCACCAGGCTGGTGCCTGCACTTTGGCACCTCAGCTACCCTGAGAGATTGGAGCGCCTGAACTTGCCTAGCTTATACTACAGACGGGCAAGGGGGGACCTAGTTGAGGTGTATAAGCATCTCAGGGGGCACTACTCAGTTGAGTGTCCTTACTTGGAGCTGGCGGACGCTCGCCCCACAAGGGGTCACAGCTCATGGTTGAAGAAGCCGCAAGTCCAGAAAACTGAGGGCAAAATTTTTCGGAGTGAGGGTTGTAAACTCTTGGAACAATCTACCAGAAAGTGTTGTGACAGCACCGAGTGTGAGCTCTTTCAAGACAAGACTTGACCAACACTGGAGCGGGTTCAGGTACATTCAGGAGCCGGTGCATGCCCAGTATTTGCCAACAGTGCGTGACAGAGACGTGACCGATCGCCCGGGCGGCTAGCGAGCCGAACTTTTGGTGAAGAAGATAAATGAATAGGAAAAGTAATCAGAGACGTGACCGATCGCCCAAGCGGCTAACAAGCCGATCAGTGGCGAAGAGGATAAAAGTAAAAAAAAAAGGGTCTAATCTACAATTCAAAGGGTCGGGTCTACAATTCAAAGGGTCGGGTCTACCATTCTAAGGGTCAGGTCTACCAGTCCAAGGATCGGGTCTACCAGAATCGATTCCCAATTTCATTCACCTGACTCTTGGTTCATATTAACCTGGGGTGTTGTTTGTTTCACTGACCTGGTTCGGGGTTGCAGAGGACCTGATGGCGAGGCAGGAGGGGCAGGGTGTGGGTGGCGGCGGTGGCTTCTCCCAGGTCGAGCGAGGTGGTGTCAACCAGGTCGGTATTGGCTGGAGGGAAGTCAGCAGCCAGGTTAGCCCAAATGGCTGCAAAGTTTGTGCGCAATCCTGCTACAAACCGAAATCCAGGTCGAAAAGAAAAACAAAGAATTACTATCTATAAACCATAATGCCCAAGGCCAAACTCAAGCCCAAAAAATAAATAAATAAAAAAGGTTTGGTAAAATTTAGGAGATTTTTTTAAGTATCTTCTTTTTCCCTTTTGCTGGTATATACTGTAATGAACTGATGAAAGAAGCACAGAGGGGCTTTGTGAGCAGCGAAATGCACCACATGAGCTGCAGCAGTCTTGGGTGTCACTGTGTAGTTATAGGTAGGTGAGAGGTTGTGTGTTTTGCATCGTTTCACCGAGTTAACATGATTATCTGTTGTGTTTATGTGTATACACCTGTATAATGGCTATGCGACGAATGTATGAAATATGTGTATGACAAGTGTATGGTTTATGTTGTTATGGTTGTGTGTATTTAAATGTGTGTATGGGGGGAATGTATACATTAAATTGTGCATGAAGTGTAATGTGATGGTGGTCATGTGTGTATATTTGCAAGTGTATGTTTGTGGTGGTGGTGTGTGTATATACTGCGGTGATATTATGTGTGTATGAAACTGTGGTGCTAATGTGTGTGTGTACCGATGAGTATGTGTTTGTTCAGTGGGTGTGTGATCAGGTGGAGAGGATGTGTTATTGATGTGCTTCGCTGTACTGCCAGTTATCATCGTGAAAGTGTGGGCAACTCACAGAAACTGAAAAACTGCCAGTATGGTTGAAAGTGTATGAATGATAGAATACAGCCGACAGTGTATGAGTAATAGTGTATGGCCACAATGATTACCCGAGTGTGTGCCTTACAGTGTATGGCTAAGAATGTATGAATGATAGTGTATAGCTGAGAGTACATGACAAATAGTGTAAATGTATAGCTGAGAGTATGCCTGACAATGCATGGCTTGGAATGCATTAATGATAGCGTACACTTGACAATTCCTGCGTAATAGTATAAGAAGGATAGTGTATACCTCCTGCTTGCATGGCTAAGAATGCATGCAACGACTTGACAGTGTATGGGTAAATGTATGCCTGACAGTATGTGACTTCTATGCACACTTACAAGTGTGTGGAGGTGAAGGTTACAGGTAAACCCAGATTGCTGGCTAGCATGGGGCATATCACGTTTCAGGCTGCAGTACTGTAACATGCTGACGCCATGCAAGACGTGGTAACGTGTGCCAGCTACTGCTACAGGGGCTGCCTCTATCAATGGTAATACAACCAATTCAAATAACACTAATTCTTAGAAATAAAATACATATAACATAAAATACACTGCAAATAAATGACACACGGGGCAATAACATGCGCTATACCCAGCCATACAACACCTCTTATTATGCTGCCTAAACTGTGATTTATTTTGTGTGTGTAGGAAACAACTGTTACTCTTACAAAATAAAATGATATATACTATATATGGGTGCCGTACATATATCGTTAAACTCTAGCAACTTTCGATCACAAAAAGCTTATGTACAGCTAAATTTAGTGATCTATCATATTAGCGCAAGGTTGACTCAGAACTTCAAGTGCAGTTAAGTGTGAATTCAGAATGAGACACGGCGGAAAGTGAAACATTTTCTTATTTCCTGTCTTATGGAAATAAATGGAGACTGAAAATATTCAATCACATAACACTTAGGGACTCGAAGGTCAAGAAGTTCTCTGTATAATGTGTAAACTAATGCAAAGAATTTCCTTCATACAAAGTATAACTTGGCAATATATATATGTATATACTGTACAGTAGTACCCCGATTTACGCGGTCAATTGAACCCACAGGGTACCGCGTTAAGTGAAATCCGCGTAAATGGAACAACAGAACATATGGGATTAATTCCAATAGAGACTGGCCCGACCCCCAAACTCTACTTTTTCCGACACAATACCTATGTTCTAGTAAAAATAACATCTTAATTTTATGATGGTACATGCACACAATTAATACTAAAGAGAAATAGAGAAATACAGTCACCAAGTAAATGTCCATTCAAATAATGGACTTAACTCCCTCCCCCTCTTCTCACACTACACTGCTGGCTCTTCCCTCTCTGAGAAATTTTGGGGGGAAAACCACTAGATTTTAATAAATAATACCTGAAACTAAAGTTAGGATAATATAATTGACATTGCTGGATTCCTTGTAAGACCAGGAATATTTTGAATATAAATGTCATATATTTTGCACAAAAGATAACATATTTACTCAGAGTAAACATTATATCTAAAATTTGTATGTCTAATGCAAAATCTATGATGTTTATATTCAAAATGATCATCAAATTGTAAGAATTCCAGCAATGTAAATTATATTCTGGCCGGGTAATTTGTATGAATTTTATGAGCTAAATAAAAAAAAAAATATATACTTCACGCATATATGAGTAGATGAACCGCGTTAAGTGAAAGTTCGGTTCTGGCGAGGCACCGCGTATATGAGAAATCGCGTTAAGTGAAACCGTAAAGCGGGGTAATACTGTATATGTATATATATATATATATATATATATATATATATATATATATATATATATATATATATATATATATATATATATATATATATATATATATATATATATATATATATATATATATATATATACAGTCAACCCTCACTTTACGCGGTCCCACATTCCGCGTTTCTACGTTTACACGTTTACGCTGTGCCCTGCCAGAACCCAGGATGCTCACATTCCGCGGTGGGTGTACCCCTTTACACGGGTGAAGTATAATTTTTTTATTTAGCTCATAAAATTCATACAAATTATCCGGCCAGAATATAATTTTCATTGCTGGAATTCTTACAATTTGATGATCATTTTGAATATAAACATCATAGATTTTGCATTAGACATACAAATTTTAGATATAATGTTTACTCTTGAGTAAATATGTTATTTTTTGTGCAAAATATATGATATTTATATTCAAAATATTCCTGGTCTTACAAGGAATCCAGCAATGTCAATTATATTATCCTAACTTTAGTCTGATTTATTATTTATTACTAAAAAGGTAAACAGTCTGGTATTCCCACACATTTATGTAGTAGGGACGGTTGGTGGGGGGTGGTGGGGAGGGAGGGACCGGCGACCGACCATCTGTTACCGTGTGAAGAATATTTTTTTTTTTATTAACTGAAGATTTTTATTTTAGCTCATAAAATTCATACAAATTACCCGGCCAGAATATAATTTACATTGCTTGAATTCTTACAATTTGATGATCATTTTGAATATAAACATCATATATTTTGCATTAGACATAAAATTTTTAGATATAATGTTCACTCTGAGTAAATATGTTATCTTTTGTGCAAAATATATGCCATTTATATTCAAAATATTCCTGGTCTTACAAGGAATCCAGCAATGTCAATTATATTATCCTAACTTTAATCTGAGGTATTATTTAATACTAAATGTTAAAATCTAGTTTTTTCACCCACTCTTTCTCTTGAAAGGAGGGTTGGTGGGAAGTGGGGGGGAGGGTTGAGACGGACTGACCATCTGGCTGGTTGGAAGAGGGGGGAGGCAAGGTGGGGTACTTTGATTGACAGAAAGTGTTGTGAAGAATATTTTTTTTTTATTAACTGAAGATATTTGTTTTAGCTCATAAAATTCATACAAATTACCCGGCCAGGATATAATTTACATTGCTGGAATTCTTACAATTTGACGATCATTTTGAATATAAACATCATAGATTTTGCATTAGACATGCAAATTTTAGATGTAATGATTGCTCTGAGTAAATATGTTATCTTTTGTGAAAAATATATGACATTTATATTCAAAATATTCCTGGTCTTACAAGGAATCCAGCAATGTCAATTATATTATCCTAACTTTAGTTTAAGGTATTATTTATTACTATACCTGGTTTTCCCCCACAATTTCTCAGAGGGAAGAGCCAGCAGTGTAGTGTGAGAAGAGGGGGAGGGAGTCTGTCCATTATTTGAATGGACATTAACTTGGCGACTGTATATCTCTATTTCTCTTAAGTATTAATTGTGTGCATGTACCATCATAAAATTAAGATGTTATTTTTACTAGAACATAGGTATTGTGTTGGAAAAAGTGGAGTTTGGGGGTCAGCTGGTCTCTATTTCATTTAATCCCATATGTTATGTTATTCACTTTACGTGTTTCTCACTTTCCCCGGTACCCTGTGGGTTACATTAACCGCGTAAAGTGAGGGTTGACTGTATATATATATGTATATATATATATATATATATATATATATATATATATATATATATATATATATATATATATATATATATATATATATATATATATATATATATATATATATATATATATATATATACCGGTATGTATATGTATTTATCATTTTTGGAAACTTCTGACTGGTAATAGACGATCATGTAGGTCGTAAAAATACATGTACAGGTTGTACCTCTCTAGTCCGGCAACCTCGGGACCTGACCGGTGCCGGACCATGGAAATTGCCGGACCATGGAAATTCACCCTTTTCCTGGATAGATAGTGACTTGTGCTTATGCCTGGAAGCACTAGCACCACTTTCTCTGCGTCATGGTCTCTTTGAAGACATCTTGAAGGGTTAAATGTCGTATAGTAGCTTCTCAAATTTCGCGAGTTTTTAATTCTTAACGTATTTTATTGGAACACACAAAAAAATAAATAAATAAAAATTTTGACGGCGGAAACTTGAATTTCGACGGGTTTGAACGGCCCACCAACGTGCAGACGATGGGCATAATCGTGTAAACAGCGTCATTTCTCTTATGTACAAAAGATTCATTAGCCTATTGTTTATTACTGAATGTCTTTTTTATTGAATTAATGTTTGTGTGCAAAATGAGCAATACAATTCATTAATAATACGTAGAATATTAAAACACACGAGGAAATGAGACAGCATTGTTTTCGTTGATTACAAAACCAGTGACTGACTGGTTCTACATATAAAACTGAAGAAAATAAGACCTTGGTTGTAGCTGTAGTAAAATTAATAGGGTTGTTTTAAGTAATGTTATTTAATGTTAATAAATGGAACAATAGAAGTAGCTAACGGTAATGGTAAAGAAAAAAAGAGATCGCGTATGTAAGTGCGCATGCGCACACGTGAAAACATATCGTCATTACTTTTCATAAGAATATGAAAGCAACACTTATTTACTGTTCATATATATTTTAGTTAATGTTTCTGAATTTGTTTTTATTGAATTAATGTACGTGTGTGCAAAATTAACAATACAATTTATTAATAATACGTGGAATATTAGAGGAGACGAGACAGCTGCCAGCATTGTTTATGTTAAAGCTTACAAAACCAGTGACTGATTGGTTCTACATATAAAACTGAAGAAAATAAGACCCTGAGTTTAGCTGTAGTAAAATTAATGTAAAAAATGAATATGGTTGCTTGAAGTACCTGTAATGTTATTTAATGTTAATAAATGGAACAATATAAGTAGCTAACCATTAATGGTAAAAAAAAAAGTGAGACTGCTCGTATGTAAGTGCGCACATGTGAAAATATATCGTCATTACTCTACATAAGAATATGAAAGCAACACTTATTTACTGCTCATATATATTGAAGGGTTAAATGTTGTACTCTGTATAGACAAGCAGAGAGAGAGAGAGAGAGTGCAGCCGAACTGCCGGATGTAAACAAACCTTAATTTCCCGCGGCTTTTTTTTTTTTTTTAAGGGGATTAGCCCACCCGGGCATAGGTCACTGACCCACATTGGGGCCTGAGGGGCAAAAATTTAATACTCCTGTAATAATAATAATAATTCAGATAAGGAAAAAGAAAAAAGAAAAAAAAGCTGCCTATCTACCTATTGGACAAACTAAAATCGTTCCGGACCACGGGAGTTTCCGGACCACAGAATGCCGGACTAGAGAGGTACAACCTGTATAATGAAAATATTCATACAAAACCTAACCTTGTCTCACCTACTTTAGGTATAATTTAGCTATTTTATGATAGTAAACGAGGCCTTACAAGAGTCAGATAAAATTTTAACATGTACAAATTAATTTTCATTGAGTTATAGCAATAAAAACAATAAAGTTATCTCTATTCAACATAAACTTCAATATACCTTTCATAGAATATCATTGCAAGGTTTATGTAAGCCATACATGCAAGATGTAACTAATTTAGGCAAGAAAAATGACAAAATCCAGACAAATTTTCAGTCTCTGTTTTCAAATCAGTATTTATCAAATAAAGAATTTTGATGCATATGTAATTGTATAACAAGAATGAATGCACAGGAACCACCACTCTCACACACAAAAAAACAAAGATTCAGAGAAAGTTACATTTACTGAACACTATATACAGTACTGTCACTGAAAACTACAGGTATCCCATATTCCCTCCACCATATATTAAGGAGTACACTATGTTATTTATTGTAGCTAAGCTGGCATTCTTTGTGGAATAATATAAATGATTATGCTCTTGTCAACCTTTGATGAAAAACATTGTAAACTAGCATAGATAACTATGCTCTTGTTATCAACAACAAGAACACGAATAAACAAATATTCATGGTTCTTTCAGCTGCAATAGTGTGTGACCTAAAATCACTTACAACAGAACAAATTCCCTCTATAATTCAACATCAAAGCAGTCTTCTTGAGCTAGTATTAATGGTCTTCAGTTCATTATTCCTGTACTACCAAACAGATTTTACATTGCAATTAACACGTGATGACTCATGAGAGAAGCTGTGGCGTTCAGAACCACACCACATATCCTAGACTTTTGACAAACATTTAGTACACCAGACATTTATCAGAAGTGTCTGGGATACTCTCACGAGTGGCAGAAGTTAATGTACATCAAGGACCTAAACTAATTCTCAAATCCCTAAGATGTATCTCAGGATTTAGATAAATTCCACGACCCTGGGATACAGTTCTCAACCCCAGAATAAGACACAGAACCCTGACATACATTTCTGAAAGTCCCGAAATTCATTTAAAAGCCTGCTACAGTATACACATGAAAACCATGGAATTCTTTTAAAAGTCCTGAAATATATCTGACAGTTATGGATCACACCTTACAGCCCAAGATTAAATCTGAAACCTTGAAATTGACCCTAAAAGCCTTGAAGTACATCTGAGAATCCTAGAAGATATCAGAGAGCCCTGGCATGGCATGGATCCTGAAAGTTGGAATACACATGGAAGCCCTGATATACACTTATGGGATCTAAAATGCACCCGAGAGCTCTTGTAACATAAATTAAAGCACTGGAATACATCTGGTAGCTCGAAAATACACCTGGGAGATCCAAGAGCTATGCAATACATCTGAGCTCCAAAATACATTTGAAAATGTTGCAATACAACTAGGAGCAATGCAATATATCTGAGAGCTCCTGAAATACAACTGAGAGCTTCTGAAATACAACTGAGAGCTTCTGAAATACAGTTGATAGTTTCTGAAATACAGTTGAGAGCTTCTGAAATACAACTGAGAGCTTCTGAAATACAACTGAGCCCTAAAATACAGCTGAGAACTTCTGGAATACAACTAAGAACTCACAAAATACAACTGAGAGCTCTTGAAATGCAACTAATAGCTACAAAATACAACTGAGAGCTCGTGAAATACAACTAAGAGCTCATGAAATACAACAAAGAGCTCATGAAATACAACTGAGAACTACTGAAATACAACTGAGAGTTCCTGAAATACAAGAGAGCTTGTGAAATACAGCTAAGAGCTCATGAAATACAACTGAGAGCTTCTGAAATACAACTAAGAGCTCATGAAATACAACGAAGAGCTCCTGAAATGACACCGAGCCCTTTAAATAAAATAGTTTCCTGAAATATGACCGAGAGCCCATGAAATACAACAGGGAGCTCCTGAATTACAGCTAAGAGCCATGAAATACAACTGGAAGCCCCTGAAATACAACTAAGAGCCCCTGAAATACGATTGAAATGTCCGGAAATACAACTGAGTCCCCTGAAAGGCAACTGAAAAAACCTAAAGAACAGACGAATCACCTGTTTCTGGCCACACGCTGGACACGTTCCATATAGTCGGGTCGAGTCCCTTGAAACCATCCCCACTATAGATGACTTCCTCGATGATTTGGGGTGCTTCCGTATGATCCTCTAGCCTGTGAACGATGGAAAAGGAATGAGGAATCGACGAGGGATAGGAAATGGTGTGAAATGAAGAACAATGGGGAGGAAAATGCTGTGAAATGGGACACAAACGGGAGGGAAATACAACTAGACCCCGACTTACGACTGCTTCGACTTACGACCGTCGGGACTTACGACCGCCGCAGTTGTGACCATTTTTTTTTCTCTCTCCAAATGACACACGCATTTTCTATACCGAAACGTTTCCAGTTAATGTAGTCTCCATGTATAATTAGAAAATTATGGGGGCCCCATGTGCATTCAGCTGACTACATTAAAGGTAAGTGCTCAGTCACACTGTATCCATTCCTCATTATTTATTACTTTCACTGTACTGTATTTCATTGTAGATTTTTTTATATCTATGTCGGACTTACGACCATTCGGACTTACGACCTGGATTTGGGGCCCTAACCCCGTCGTAAATTGGGGTCTAGCTGTAGTGTAAAATGGGGAACAAAGGGGTGGGGAAATGGTGGAATGGGGAACAAGGGGGGAGGGAAATGGTGTGAAATGGGGAAGAAACAAGAGGGAAATAATAAAATGGGGAACAAAGGGGAGGGAAAATGGTATGAAATGGGGGAAAAAATAAGAAAAATAGTGCACTGAAATGATTATACAAGATATTGGTCAAACTTGTTGGAAAAAAGTCTTGAACTATTAATCCACAAAGACTATGTTATTAATCCATGTTCTTCAATGATTTATTTTAAGATAATTTTTCTTCCAGGAGGAACTACCTGAGGAAGGGGCAGCAGTGGTAGGCGTAGGAGAGGGTGAGGGCTCTGACCATAGGGAAGCTCTCAGGCCCGGGGAAAACCCTGAGGTGACGGTTGTTGTGGACTTTGATGGAGACGACATGCTCCAGGCCTTGGGCAGGCAGCTCCGGGAAGCTGTTGTTGCCCAGGTTACTGTACACAAAAATCATACGCATTATACATAATAATACATAATCTCCAGTGTATACATAATCTACACCCTGTACATAATTTACAAATCATACACAATCTACACTATATATACAGTACATAATCTTACATAGTCTACACTCTCCCTTAAACTGTCTGAACACTGATAAATCAATGGATATAGTCGTATAGCGAAGAGTTTCAGGAGAAATGTATTCATTGTTACTATAAAAGGGTTCTAACTTCATCTGATTTCACAAACGGGTTCTAACTTCACTCAGGGGTTCTAACTCAATTCAGGGGTTCTAACTTCACCCAAGGGATCTTAACTTCACACAGGAGTTCTAACTTTACCTTGGAGTTGCAACTTCACCCAGTGATTCTAACTTCATCCAAGGATTCTAACTTTATCCAGGGGCTACAAACTCACCCAGGTATTCTGACTTCACCAAGGGATCCTAACTTCATCCATGAGTTCTAACTTCACCCAGGGACTCTAAATTCACCCACAGGCTCTAGCTTCACCCGGTGATTTTAACTTCATCCACGAGTTCTAACTTCACCCAGGGGCTCTAAATTCACTGAGGGATCCTAACTTCACCCAGGAATTCTAACTTCATCCAGGGCTTTATCTTCACCCAGAGGTTCTAGCTTCACCCAGGGGCTCTAAATTCAACCAGGGATTCTACCTACACCTAAAGTTCTAACTACACCCAACTATTTAAAACAATATGTGTTCCAATACTTTCACTTATAAAGAGACAAATTTATTTTTCAAGCTATTTATGCCATGAGCATCAGATACATGTACAGATGAGTGAAATTACTGAGGGTTGGAATTGTGAAGAGATGTAGTTAGGTGTACTTTGAACCACTGGGTGTACTTTGAACCTCTGGGTGTACTTTGAACCACTGGGTGTACTTTGAATCACTGGGTGTACTTTGAACCACTGGGAGTACTTTGAACCACTGGGTGTACTTTGAACCTCTGGGTATGCTTTGAACCCCTGGGTGTACTTTGGACCCCTGAGTGTATTTTGAAACTCTGGGTGTACTTTGAAGCCCTGGGTGTACTTTGGACCCCTCGGTGTTATGACAAATTCTCAAATTTCTACATGTAAATATATTACAAAACCTGCCGACTTTCCATGACCGGACCGACACTGACACCCACTGCCCAACAGCAGGCTTTATAGTGTAAGGTTAAACAGTGTTAAATAGAAAAATAGTAGAATTGGCCATAAAAAGATGATATTAAAGACCTAGTGAATTTTTATAGAAATTTTAAATAAAAAAGGAAAGGGCTTATACACTTGCACGGTGATTAACATACATGTAGTCAAGATATTGTCTAAATCCAAAGCTCTTCCCACTCCCATGGTCCTTAAATACTCGGAGGACAGTGGAAAGAAGTCAGTCTACATCGGAGCCTGAGGTGGGAAGCCGTTATCGGAGCTTTGAGGGAGAGCCGATTAATGTTGGCCCGACAGACTCATAGCGAGATATGAGCTAAAATTGCTGGCAAATGGAGTTTGACCACAGCCCAGTCGGGTCGTCGTCACTACTCAATACTGTGGAAACCCTGGGTGTACTTTGAACTCCTTGGTGTAATTTGAACCCCTGGGTGTACTTGGAACCACTGGGTGTACTTTGAAACCCTGAATGTACTTGGAACCACTGGGTGTACTTTGAATCCCTGGGTGTATTTGGAACCACTGCATGTACTTTGAACCCATGTGTGTACTTGGAACCACTGGGTGTACTTTGAACCCCTGGGTGTACTTTGAACCCCTGGGTGTACTTATAGCATGGAATATTTGACACTAGATAGTTAAACGTCTATTAATCTTAAGGTCATCTACTGAAACCAGTACACTTACGTCTCACTAATTAAGATTCATTTGCTTCTTGTCTATCGAAATCACAGGAAGCTAACAATGATGGTAATATTTACATCAGATGAAAGTTACTATGATAATATCGTGCCTATCATGCTATCATTTGACATAATTCACTGTTTGTCTCCTTGGAAAATTCCTGTTAACTAGAAGGAGAGTGAGTGAGTGGACAGTACCAAATAAACACTGGGCTGTAACTTACATGTCCTCGAGGCTGACGAGGGGGAGGAAGGCGTCCTGGTGGATGCTGGTGATGAGGTTGTCCTCCAGCTGCCTGCGTCACACCACTCTCTCATTACATAACTTATAACCTCATTATTGACACAGTTTCTTATAATTCATCACATATCATTATTCTTGATCATTCTACGTAACTATGTACAGTAGCCTACAAAAAACACTTATCTATTTACTGTACCAATTAATGCTCTACATAACCCTGCAATAAAATTAAGATTCTGAAAAGTGGTGATGAAGATACAGTGACAGTTTAAATTTCTCATCAAAGATATTACACAATGTTACGATTTTAATTCCAGAAGAAAAAAAATAATATAGTTGGTAATAATGTATATGAAGTTTAAAGACATCATAGGCCTGTACAATAGAGAGGAGATAGTGTCTTTGTTTGCACTGCATGACTGACAACTCAATCAGGCAGGAAGGGGGTCAAGGATGGTTGCTATTTGTCAGAGTCGCGGGAGGAGAGGATAAAGGGTTCTACCTGCAGTCTGGGGGAAAGAGTGGAGACATGGGAGTGAGGGAAGGGGGTGAGGGTTCACTTAGTCTTGAGGAAGAGAGAAGAGTTCAGAAAGGTGAAAAGATGGAGGGTGTGAGGGCTCAATCGGTCGTTGAAGAGACTTGTAATAAAAGAGTGAGAGATACAAACGTGGGAGGAGAGGAAACGTAGGAAGAGGTGAAGAAACGTGGGGAGAGGAGGAGATCATAGGGAAGGAGAAATGAAAAGAGTAAGACAGGTATGGAAGAGGGAGAGGAAAAATTCATAAGTAAGAGGGAAGGAAAGGGGGAGAGACTGAAAGGTATGGAAGTAAGATGACCACACTGGGTTAAGGCACAGGAGGGGGAAGGGGTGGATGGATCAACTTACAAGACCTGGAGTTTCTCAAGGCCGTTGAAGGTGTTGTTGTGGATGGTATGGACACGGTTGCCCTGGAGGAGGAGGTCCTGGAGGAAGGAGAGACTGCTGAAGGTGGCCGCCGGCAGGGAGCTGATGTTGTTGTGGCTCAGGTCTCTGTGAGGGCACACGAATTAGGTGTGTACAACATACCTGGACACTTGTTGCATTTAAAATTAGCTAATACAGATCGCTACATTTTACTATTAGGCTATACCTTATTGAGAGGTTATATATCAATATTATACCATCATGTAAAACTATGCAATAACATAATATAAATTCTGATGCTGGTCTATTGAAATTGAATCCCAGATAAAAAACAAACATTACAAGACTACAGTTTTGCTGCCCGCTATTGTAAAAGAATAAGTGAAAGTTGACGATCAAGTTAATGTGAATGTTTTTGATTCAATTTTTTCAACATTTCCTAATCTGATACCTACTTAATCATGAACAAATAACATGAAAGAAAAAAAGGGATGAGTAGAGATTGAAGCAGTCATGGACAGTAAGTTTTCCGTCAGATAAAGAAACGAGAAGTGACAGTAAACTATTCTCACATTAGGCGGAGTTGACGACAGCGGTTGAGGTCCGGCATCTCGCTGATTGAGTTCCTCTGGAGGTTCCTGCAACACAACACACACACTCACAATACTGTCTCCTCCCTCTCAATAACTCATTACTTCTCCTCTTGTGGTGTGATGGCCAGACGAGAACACAAACAAATAAGTGACAATACCATTCCAAATAATATTTGATTGGTATTTTCCGAAAAAAAATCCATTCATGAAGATAATGAAGGTCTGACACATTAAGATGCTCTGACAACTATTTGAGAATGAAAACCCAGCCTTTGTTGTGTTGTGACCAAGAGTTCATTGTTCACTGGCAAGGAAGTTAATTCATACAGGTGTTGTAAATATTTTTTTTAATACTGTAATACAAGACTGTTGTAATGTCAATGAAAGTTTCACAAGATTTTTGTACAATTGTGAATTTAAAATTATTTTTTTTATATCACTGAATTATCCAAATGTTATTTAAATTCTACTTAACAAATAACTGAGTTGCTGATGATATATTTTGACCAATGCCTGACTCCTAATACTCAGTATGTCATCATCACTGCCTTCCTCCCTTATACCAAAAAACATGGCAGCACTCTAACCCTCACGTGGTCACTTCTCATATCCTCTCCTCCGTTTTCCTCTTCCTGTCTCTCGCCTTGACTGTCTACTTCTCTACCTCCCCATCTCCACTCTCTTCCAGCCTCCTGTCCGCTTATTCTACTTCCTTACAACACATAATTTCCCCCTTTCTTTTGATCAATTGACTTTTCTTTTTATCTGCATTCTATCTATTCTTCCCATCCATCAGCTACTCCTCCATTCTTTCCCCTATTTATTCCCCATTTTCCCCTCTACCCTCCCTCCGGCCCAGGTGCTCACAGGCTGCGGAGTTTGGGGGCAACTGAGCACAGGTTCTCGGGCACTGCGGTGAGGGCAGCGCGGTCTATCCTGATTAGCTCAAGACTCGAGGTGCCGTTCAGATCAGGAAATTCCTGCAGCTGCTTCATCTCCTTCAGGATGCTGGTGAGAGAAATAGAGATTGAGTGGTTGGTGGTTCGTGAATTTTTAGGGAACATGTGATTTTACAGAATAACTTTAGACTGCATAAACAGTAGTTCTCATGCACATAGGCACAATGAGGATCAATAGTTCTCAAAGGGTGATGAACTATTGTTTCATCGATTTTTGTTTAATAAAAAGTTTTGCAGTAACTTTAAATTCTAATGAAAAATTGGGTTGAGAAGACAAAACATTACTGATGCTGTGATGGGATATATCTGGTACTTTTTGGAAAGCACATAAAACTGACAAAGACTAGTTTACAGACACTAGTGATGAGAAACTGTAAATAATCAATATTAATAAAGACTATGGAAACACTCAATCAATTATGGGGGAATAATCACACATAGATATATACTGTACTTAAGATTTAGGTTGCAGACAGAAATTGACTGCATAATGAGGAAATAAATATTCAGTCAGATTAACAAAGTTGGTGAGAACCCCATTACAGAGAGACGCAAGGAGTACTACTGTATTAGACTCACAGCTTGGTAAGGGAGGGGAGGTTGGAGAAGGCTCTTTGATGGATAGTGAGCAGTTGGTTGGGCCACAGCGCCACGTCCTGTAGCCGCGCCAATCCCTTGAACGAGTCCTCACCCACGTATGTCAGCCTGTTACTGCCCAGCAACCTGACAGAACACCACCATTATAGTAAGTTGTCGAGTACATACAATTGTGTTGATACATGATGCAAGGGCCATGTACTGTCCTGTATGTTGCTTGAAACATTATCTTATACAGGTAATGTTGGGTGATATAGTATTCAGGTAAGTTATTTATCAAAGGCATAATATAGTTTAATAAGATAATAGAGCAATAAAATGCATGGTTATATCATTGATTTTGAGATAAATACACAAGTTAACCTCAGACTCAGGAATTTCATAAGTCAGCAGCACTTAATCCAGATCCCCTTGTTTCAATAATTGCCGACTTTTCTTTACATCTAATCTGACAGGTGAAGATTAAAGATTCAATACACTCAATCGCATTTATTGTAAAAGTATATCTCCTAATCTTCCTTCAAAACTTTGTAACTTATGTTTTATCTGGATGTAGTTCTTGCTAAGAGAACACATATTATTGTCAAATGACTTAACAAAATGAATTGGAATAGGATGAATAAGTAGAAAAAATATGCAATAATATTTCTTCTCATCCTAAATATAAGAGAGCTGAATTTTTTGTATAATTGTAAACATAAATGTACCTAAGAAATGTGGTCTATATGGGACACAATCATTAAAAATATTTAATTAAAAGTGCATCAATAAGATCATAATCTACTTGAGTGTCTGATGGTGTATGTCTGACAAACTACGTAAAAATTCAAAATGGGGCGGTTGAGAAGATCCAGATGATATAAAGAGATAGTTATAGTCTTTCAAAAACCATTAAGGGAAGTATATTGAGAAGTATATGTATGGACAGTTATGATGCCTTTTAAGTTACTATAAGAAGTGAGTACTATCTGTGGACAGCCAGTTGTATGGTTAACCTTCACGTACAGTCACTCAAAAAAACTAAAAAAAAACTATCAATACTTGGGGGGGTCGAAGAATTTCAAAATGAACACTGTGATTCTTGTTGTCTCAACAGGGTTGCCAAAATCCTTCGTCCGTTGTCTCATATTTTCTCAAAACAATTATGTATAGAAAATTTTTGAGTGACTGTACATGTATTAACTGGTATAGACAACTTCCAAACTGAGTACACAAGGTAAACAATCAATTAAAACAATGAAAATTCATAGATAAAGTGGATAGGTCTATGATCTACTGAGTGACTGACAAAGTATTAAATTTCCTTATGTTAGGTAAGTACTAATACGGGGTGGATGGGCTGTAGGGGTACTCACAGTTCTTTCAATTTAAGGCAGCGAGTCACCGCCGTCGGCACCTCTGTCAACGTGTTCACCTCTAGGTCTCTGTAGGGAAAACAAGAAAAGATAAACCAAGGGTCTCCCTCTCTCTCTCTCTTCCCTCAGTGTGTGTGTGTGTGTGTGAAAACAAACTTCCATGAGTGTCAACTCTTTACCTCATCACATAAACACCAATGCTTTAGCCCGGCTAAATTAAAAGAATCTTCAACACCAATGGCATCAATACAGGTAAAACTATCAATGAAAAACATAAAGGCCGGCTGGTTCAGTAAATTTTGAGAGTTTTATCAAACCCTTCATGTGTCATCTTAAAGGTTAGCGTTAAATCATAAAATACAGTACACTGTATACGATGACAAATATTTACATAAACAATACAATAAGAGCTCTTGACAAAGATACACAAATGCCTCGGTATATATTAACACCTGTTATACTGTACCTGATAACATTTTGTCCGGTACCTTCTACTCTACTGATGACTGCTGATCTCGACAAAATCAATGAGTAGCAATGACTTGTGTTCGACAACCAGAAGTGACGAGGTAGTGTTAGCCAGGGAGGTGGGTGTCCCTCCCGTCTACTACCAGCTGTGAGGGAGGAGGTGGGTGTCCCTCCCGTCTACTACCTGGTGTGAGGGAGGAGGAGGTGGATGTCCCTCCCGTCTACTACCAGCTGTGAGGAAGGAGGAGGTGGTTGTGTGTCCCTCCTGTCTACTACCAGCTGTAAGGGAGGAGGAGGTGGGTGTCCCTCCTATCTACTACCAGCTATGAGGGAGGAGGAGGTGGGTGTCTCTCCCGTCTACTACCAGCTGTGAGGAAGGAGGAGGTGGTTGTGTGTCCCTCCTGTCTACTACCAGCTGTAAGGGAGGAGGAGGTGGGTGTCCCTCCTATCTACTACCAGCTATGAGGGAGGAGGAGGTGGGTGTCTCTCCCGTCTACTACCAGCTGTGAGGAAGGAGGAGGTGGGGTGTCCTCTCCTGTCTACTACCAGGTGAGGGAGGAGGAGGTGGGTGTCCCTCCTGTCTAATACCAGGTATGAGGGAGGAGGAGGTGGTGTCCCTCCTGTCTACTACCAGCTGTGAGGAAGAGGAGGGTTGTGTGTCCCTCCTGTCTACTACCAGCTGTAAGGGAGGAGGAGGTGGGTAGCTTCTCCGTCTACTACCACAGCTATGAGGGAGGAGGAGGTGGGTGTCTCTCCTTGTCTACTACCAAATGTAAGGAGGAGGAGGTGGGTGTCCTCCTGTCTACTACCAGGGTCTGGAGGGAGGAGGAGGTGGGGTGTCCTCCTGCCCAGCCACTCAGTGAGGGGAGGAGGTGTGTGGGGTGTCCCTCCTGTCTACTACCAGGTCTGAGGGAGGAGGAGGTGGGGTGTCCCTCTGTCTACTACCAGGTCTTTGAGGGAGGAGGAGGGTGGGTGTCCCTTCCTGTCTACTACCAGGTGTGTGAGGGAGGAGGAGTGGTGTCCCTCTGCCTTACTACCAGCTAGAGGGGAGAGGAGGTGGAGTCCCTCCTGTCTACTAGCAGCTGTAAGAGAGGAGGAGGGGGGTGTCCCTCCGTCTACTACCAGCTGTGAGGAGGAGGTGGGTGGCCCCTCTGTCTACTACCAGCTGTGAGGAGGAGGTGGGTGGCCCTCCTGTCTACTACCAGCTGTGAGGAGGAGGAGGTGAGTGTCCCTCCTGTCTACTACCAGGCCTGGAGGGAGGAGGAGGTGGGTGTCCTCCTGTCTACTACCAGGTCTGGAGTGTGAGGTGAGGTGGGTGTCCTCCTGTCTACTACCAGGTCTGAGGGGAGGAGGGAGGTGGGTGTCCCTCCTGCTCCACGCAACACCAGGTGTGAGGAGGAGGTGTGTGTGGGTGTCCTCCTGTCTACTACCAGGTGTGAGGGGAGGAGGAGGGGTGTCCCTCTCTGTCGGCCAATACCAGGTCTGGAGGGAGGAGGAGGTGGGTGTCCTCCTGTCTACTGGGGCCAGGTCTGGAGGGAGAAGGAGGTGGGGTGTCCCTCCTGTCTACTACCAGGTGTGAGGGAGGAGGAGGTGGGTGTCCCTCTCGTCTACTACCAGGTCTGAGGGAGGAGGAGGTGGGTGTCCCTCCTGTCTACTACCAGCTGTGAGGGAAAGAGGAGGTGGGTGTCCCTTCCGTCTACTGCCAGCTGTGAGGAAGAGAAGGTGGGTGTTCCTGCTGTCTACTACCAGCTGTGAGGGAGGAGGAGGTGGGTGTCCCTCTCGTCTACTACCAGCTGTGAGGGAGGAGGAGGTGGGTGTCCCTCCCGTCTACTACCAGCTGTGAGGGAGGAAATGGGTGTCCGTCCCATCTACTACCAACTGTAAGGGAGGTGTGTGAACATGACCACAGTGAACATGACTACACTGAACATGACCACAGTAAACATGAGCATTACATGTGCCGAGTTACTTACAGTTTTTCAAGGTTTCGTAGCGGTGCCAAAGCTCGGGACTCCACCGTTGAGATCCTGTTCTGGTGTAGTGACCTGAGGAACGGGAGGTCAGGTAAGGTAAGGTCAAATTAGGTTAAGCCAGAAGAGACAGCTGCCTTTAAGGTTTAGAGATTGTCAACATATGGCAGAATACAATAGAATACAGTAGTTTATAGTAATGGTAATAAAATAAGTCATCTATATGTCAATGAATTCTGCCATTTACTAAAGTTTTTCCACCTGATGAAGCAATTTTCAGGCCAAAACATAATGATTGTTATTTAACTTGATATCAATTCTGTTATTATTAACGGGGTGAATTTTTGGCTTGGAATAGTGTGTGTGTGTGTGCATCTTACCGAGCTGTGTGTGTAACGCTGAGCTGTGTGTGTGTGTGTATCTTAATGAGCTGTGTGTGTCTCTTGCTGAGCTGTGTGTGTATCTTGTTGAGCTGTTTGTGTATAGCTGAGCTGTGTGTACATCGCATGAGCTGTGTGTGTATCACCGAGGTGGGTGTATAACTGTATATAACTCAGTCGTGTGTATATCACCGAGTCTTGTGTATATTGCTGAGCTGTGTGTGTATCACTGAGCTCTCTAGTGCTCCATCGAGTGACTCACTGACTCAAGAGCTCCACGAGTGACGTCTTAAGTTATTCATTTGACCTCTGTACTAGAGCTCAGAACTCGATGAGTTCTCCATCAGCTCAGAATGATTCACTATGACACGTCATTTTCTATTAATAATTTATGATGATATGTCGTTTCCTATGAAATGAGATGCTGGAGAATACATGTCCCTTTTGCACGACCTCTCTCATTCTACCTGTTTATATCCTTTTTAATATAATTGTCTCTTTTTTTTCTTTTTCCGTAATAATACTTGCGTCCTCTTTCTTTCTTTCTCTCTGTAATACTCTCTCTCTCTCTCTCTCTCTCTCTCTCTCTCTCTCTCTCTCTCTCTCTCTCTCTCTCTCTCTCTCTCTCTCTCTCTCTCTCTCTCTCACAACACCACCCTCGGGGCTTAGTAAGAAATTCCTCGATAAATTCCCAGCGGTCACTCTCGTCTCCCACAGAACCAATTATCTGATAGGCAAAGGTTTAATTTAGGACAGATAGGAGATGGGAAGGGGTGATGGGAGGGGATTGGGTGGCTGGGAGGGGAAGGGGTGGATGGGAGGGGAAGGGGGTAGATGGGGAGGGGATGGAGGGAAGGATGGAGGGAGAAGAGATGGAGGGGGAAGGGGTGGATGGGGAAAGGGGAAGGGTGGATAGGTAAGGGGAGGAAGGGTGGATTGGTAAGGGGAAGGGTGGATAGGTTAGGGGGAAGGGTGGATAGGTAAGGGGGGAAGGGTGGATAGGTAAGAGGTGAAGGGGGAAAGGGTGAGTGGGTGGATGGATGGATGGATGGATGGATGGATGGAGAAGAGACAAAGAGGAAAAGGGTGGATGGAGAAGAGGTAGAGGGGGGGGGGTGGAAAGAATAAATAGGGATAGTTAGCCTTGAGCAAAAAATAGATGTAAGAAAGAGAATAAAATGGGAGCATAAAGTATGTAGAGAGGATGGGAACTAATGGGAATAATTAATAAGTACAGGAAATGAGGAACAAGTGATGAAATGGCAGGAAATAAGAAATGTGTAGGATCAAAAATAGGGTAATAAAGTGAGTAGACAGCGAACTTAAATTTTTTTTAATAGAATAAAGAACTATGATAAGAAGGAATTAAAATACTGCTGAAAAGGAAGAAAAGCAAGACGAAAGTAAACGGAAAGGATAAGAATATACATGACTAATGAAAAGGTGAAGAAAGATGGAAGATAGACAAAGCAACTCCATGTTTACGATAGTGGAAGAGTGATGGGGGAAGGAAGAGGAGAATTGAGAAACAAGAGCGGAAAGAAAATATGAATACAATGTAGAAAACAGAGGATTTAACTCAAATGGTGAAGAATGGATAAAGATGGTCCAGATACACAATCAATGATGGAAGATTGGAAAGCGATTGGATAGCGTGTGAAGAATATATTAAACGGAAGTGATTAGATAGATAAAAGAGAAACAGATAACGAGGCAACAAATTGAAGGCATGCAACTCAGGAGAAATAATTTTAATGACCAAAAAAATTCAAATACGGGAGGGTAGGAGAAGCAACTGAGAGAGAGAGAGAGAGAGAGATATGATTGTGTATGATAGTGTACAATCGTCATGCAACATGATGGTGATGGATGACCCACTTCATCACTCTTGAGATGAATCAAACAGACTAAGCGGGGAAATGGTATCACTTTTTTCCTCTTCCCAGTGATAAAGCAGAACCTGCGTGAAGAGGAACCAGAAAAAGGCAGAGAAGAAGAAACAAAATCCTCGAGTGATGTAATCAAAGGAAGGAATAGCGAGAAAATCAAAGAAAACGAGGAATACTGATAAAAGAAATTGAACTGAAATACCCCCCCCAAAAAAAATAGAAGCAAGAATTGACTTTCTGAATTTCAACTCTTGGGATTGAAGTTTACAACGTTACGAAACAATGAGAATACTCGTCAATAATTAACATTATCCTATTTTTTTTTGTACATTATTATCTTATGAATCAGCAGTCAATATATCTCCCTAACACAGTTCATAATAAACAACTTCAAGTACCTTCAGTCTCGGGTAAAATGATGCCTCGGTGGATAGAGGAAACAGTGACTCTTATCTGACCTCTTACTGCGCCATTTCTCTCAACAAAAAAATAAATGAGCAAAGAAAATGAAACTCTTACTGTTAGTTTTTATCACTTAAGCTTCATGTTAAAACTGTGCTGCATCCTTTACTCATCCTTACATGAAAAAGGAGGAAGGGGAAGAAGAGAGAGAAGAGGTGGAAGGGGAAGAAGAGAGGGAGGAGGGGGAGGGGGGGGGCTGAGGAGGAGGAGAAGGGGAATCTCGTACATGTGGTTGAGGTCTCTTCCAGGAGTCTCGCCACTCATCACATACGGTATTAGGGTCACAACATACATTGAACACTACTATAGGCAGAAAGTGAGCGAAATATCATCTGGTGCAGCTTCCAAAGGATTGTTTTAGTCATAAGAATATAAGAATTCCCCTTCTGGGCAGTCCCGTTTACACCCAACCCATATCGCTCATATATCCACCCAACCTATATTTGAAGCTACCCAGGGTGTTCGAGTTAATGATGGTGTTTGGTAACTTGTTTCATTCATCCACAACTCTATTTCATAACCAATGTTTACCTATCTCACACCTAAATCTAAATTTGTGTAATTAAAAACCACTGCTATGAGATCGTTCCAGGTTGAATAATTTAATTACATATGTCTTTATACTCAGGGTTCCAAATGTCCGGGATAAGTCTTGTCATCCTCCTCTGTATGTTTTCTAGGGATCCGGTATCCATTCTGTGGTACGGTGACCAGAACTGAACTGCATAAACCAAGTGAGGTCTCACAAGCGCAAGATATATTTTTAGGAAAACCTCGCTAGTCTTGTAACTAACACTCTTTTGAATGAACCCAAGTACTTTGTTAGCCTTGTTTCGAGCAAATACACATTGTTGACTTGGATTAAGATTCCGACTATCATTACTCCTAAATCTTTCTCAGTCTTTTTTTCTCTATACAGTACTGTATCAATGTTGTTCAGCTGATATCTGGTTTCTTTGTTTACATCTCCTAGACTAAGTACAGGTACTTACATTTGTCCACATTAAATTTCATCTACCATTTTTCATACCATGCAAAAAATTTGTTTTGATCTTGTAGTTTTGCAGAATCCTCGTCAGATTTAATTACGCGCCCTATTTTAGTGTCGTCAGCAATTTACATTTGTTGCTGTCTACTCCAATATCTATGTCGTTTATGCATATAATAAATAGTAATGGTCCAAGTACCGAGCCTTGGAGTACTTCACTAGTGATGTTACCCCAATCGGATTTAGTGCCATTAATGCAGACTCTGTTTTCTGTCCTATAACCACACCCTATTCCAGTTTAGAACATCTCAAATTACATGAGCCTCCACTTAACCTATCAGTCTTTCGTCGGGGACCCTGTCGAAGGCTTTGCAAAAGTTGAGATGAACCACATCATAATCATGTCCGTCATCCACTGATTCGAAAACAGTTGAAAAGAATGAGAATAGATTTTTCAGACATGAACACCCACTTGTGATGACCTGTTGGGAATCATTGATCAATTTGCGTTTCTTGAGGTGATTTCGAATTGAGTTTGAAATTATTCTTCCAGTAATTTGCCTACAATGGATGTTAAACTAATTGGATGGTAGTTTGAGAATAGTGATCTATATCCCTCCTTGAAAATCAGTATCACATTCGCTAACTTCCAGGATTCTGGTACTACACCCGTTTTTAATGACATTTTAAGCAAGTTTGCTAAGGGCATAACTAAGTTCTTCCTAACATTCCTTTAATAATACTCTGGCAACTATATCATCAGGACCTGGTGACTTATAAGGTTTTAGTTTATCTATTTGTTTACTAACATCGTTACTATCTCGCTATCTCTGGAGATAGTCGGTGCCTCGTGTATCATGTTTAAATTTTCGGTTGTGAAAACTCATTACATCTGAAAAAATCCCTTTGGGTTTGACTTTGCCTCCCTTGCTACCTTCAGTTCATTATTCCTCTTTGCTTTTCTTATCTCTGTCTTGACTCTACTGACCAATACTTTACAATAATTCTAAACCTATTATGCGCCACTAATTGTTCACGTTGGCGTTAATGTTGCCACATGTAGTTCACCTTCCCGGCCTATTTGAACCAACACCATCACAGTGCTATGTACTTAAGGGTTACAGGCAGTGATAATACTTACAAGCGTTGGAGGTTGTGCAGGCCACGTAGGTCGCCGTCCTTCAGGGCAGTGAGTCTGTTTCGCGCAAGGTTGCTGCGGGTAGATCAAACGCTGTTAGGTCGGCATGGAAGCAAAGGACATCATTTCAAAAGCATGCCACAGGGATTTATAAGGATGCTGTGTAAAAAATATTCAAAAGTGTGTGCGACGATAATTCTTAGATATATTACAGTGTGGTCATATATCGTGACTATGTGGAGTGAATAGAAATACAGTACATGGGTGTGTACTAAGATTTATTACGACTTAAAGAACTGAACTAAACTAAAATTTTCTCCAGACAAACGTAAAAATTATGACACATCAGTAATTTATTTTGAACTGTTTTTAATTGTTGAAACATTATTACCTCCACATTATATTCTTGTTATTAATCAACACTTAAAAACTTCATATAAACTCTCATTTTCTCCGTCACCTTGAACGCCTTTCTCTTTTGTCGGATCTCCAGTTTGGCTTTCGCCAGGCGAGATCTACTGGATATCTGCTCTCAAACTGCACCCATCTTTGGTCATCCTCTCTTAGGGATTATGGGGAAACTTTCGGCGTGGCCATTGACATCTCCGAAACATTTGACAGGGTATGGCACAAGTCTTTGCTTTCTAAATTTCCCTCTCATGGTTTCTCTCCCCAAATTTGTTCTCTAATTTCTAGCTTCCTTGGGAATCAATCCATGGCAGTTGTTGTCGAGGGCACAATCTCTCGTTCTTTCTCTACCAATAGTGGTGACCACAGGGTTCTGTTCTTTCACCTACTCTCTTCCTTCTTTTTATCAATGATATACTTCACACTATGACTAATTCTATCCATTCTTTCACTGATGATTCTACTCTTCACATTTTCCCTTCCCCCTAATTCTCAAACTAGGTCTGTTTCTAGAGCTGATATCATTTCATCTATCAATGCGGATCTGTGAAGCAACTCCGAAAGGGGAGGTAGAAACTTGGTTAAATTCAATAGTAATAAAACACAGTATTTACCAATTACACTTTCCAAATTAAATGATCTCCCACCAATCACATTTCTAAAATAGATATACTAGGCCACACCATTTCCTCTAAAATGTCATGGAAGCCACACATCCAAAACATTGCTAAAGCTGCCTCCCGAAAGCTGGGAATGCTGTACAGACGCTGTAGCAACTTCACTCCTGAGCAGTTGCTTCAGGTTTATAAGGGATTCATTGGTCCAAAGTTGGAGGACTGCTCTCATATCTGGGGGTGGCCCTTTTTCTGTCTAACTGTTAGATAGGGTGGAATCACAGGCATTTCGTCTTAATAACTCTCCTCCTTTAGTTGATAATCTCCCTTCTCTTTCTCTTCACTGCACTGTTGCTTCACTCTGTCTCTTCTACAGGTACTTTAACGGGCAATGTTTGGTGGATTTGGCATCCTGTGTACCGCCGGCAAGACAGTGGGCTTGTAACACTTGTCTTGCCTGCGGTGCCCACCGTTTCTGTGTGGATGTCGGTCACACTAGAATAATTCGTTGTAGTATACCCTTCTTTCCTCACACAGCCAAACTGTGGAATGCTCTGCTTTCTTCTATGTTTCCATGCTCTTACAATCTGTCTCACTTCAAAAAGCTGGATTTCCGGCTTGTGGTATACATTAATACAGTCTTTTTCTCTTCTATTTTTAATTTCTTTTTACTCTTATTTTTTTCACCCCAATGTGGGTCAATGACCTGTAACCGGGTGGGCTATTCCCCGTAAAAAAAAAATATATATATACAGTGAATCCTCGCTTTACGTGGTCAATTGAACCCACGGAGGCCAGCGTAAAGCGAGAAACGCGTAAAGTGAACAACATAACATATGGGATTACAGGTTGTACCTCTCTAGTCCGGCAACCTCGGGACCTGACCCGTGCCGGACCATGGAAATTCACCCTTTTCCTGGATAGATAGTGACTTGTGCATACACTTGGAAGCACTAGCACCACTTTCACAGCATCGTGGTCTCTTTGAAGATATATTGAAGGGTTAAATGTTGTACAGTAGATTCTCAAATTTCACGAGATTTTAATTCGACGTTTTTTATTTGGACACAAAAAAAAAGACACTGCACAATTAAAAAATTTCGACGGCGAAAACTCGAATTTCGACGGGTTTGAGCGGCCCGCCAACGTTCAGACATGCACAATTGTGTAAACAGCGTCATTTCTCGATGTATAAAACATTCATTATTGTTTATTACTGAATGTCTTTTTGATTGAATTAATGTTTATGTGTGCAAAATGAACAATACAATTCATTAATAATACGTAAAATATTAAAACACACGAGGAGACGAGACGGTATTGTTTTCGTTAATGTTTATAAAACCAGTGACTGATTGGTTCTACATATAAAACTGAAGAAAATAAGACCCTGGTTGTAACTGTAGTAAAATTAATATGGTTGTTTTAGGTAATGTTATTTAATGTTAATAAATGGAACATTGGAAATAGCTAACCATTAATGGTAAAGAAAAAAGTGAGATCACGTGTGTAAGTGAGCACATGTGTAAACATATCGTCATTACTCTACATAAGGATATGAAAGTGTAGCATCTTGCGTTATTTAATGGTAGAATGACAAGCACATGGTGGGTCTGGCTGGGCGTTTATTCTCTGTTCTTGGCTACAACGTGCCTAACACATTTCGTGTTTACACAAGCCTAAACACTTTCTGACTTTGGTAAGAAGTAACATAATATATAATATATATATTCAATAAAGGCAGCATATAAACATACATATATATATATAACACTATTTCTCCCTTTCAAAAGAGAGCATGGCTGCTACAAATCCGAAATAAACAAAACGAACAGAATTACATATGGCAGGGAAGAAGGGAATAGAACACAACAAATATAACTTCCTAACTAAACAGTTTTGAAAGGCCTGTTCACAATTCAGATAATTAGAGGTCTAATTTAATTACAGGTCTCCTAACTCTGTTTAATCTTCTAGGACTATTCCCTCCATCAAGTTTTACAGGGGTTTCACTTGCACTCTGTGCATTATCAGTGACAGACATATCATCACTACAATCAGTTGACACAGTGAGTGGATGCTGGGAAACATCATCTTTGACATCATCATGATGATCATCTGAAACTGTGTCAAGTTTATCATCATGTCCTGGTGCTACATTCATCTCATGTGCCTGAATGATGTGATCCACATGAACATATCTCAAAGAGTTACCACATTTCACTAAATATGTCCTAGATCCACATACCTTGTCAATGACACCAGTTATCCACTTTGCATGTACAGTAAAATAACCTTTAGCCATATTCCTAACTCTCACCCTATCATTTACCTTGAACACTCTTTCACTGGAACTCTTATCATGATACATCTTTTGTTGAGCTTGTTTCCTCTCTACAACTTCAAACAGACTTGGCTTAACTAAACTTAATCTTGTTCTCAACTGTCTCTTCACCATTAACTCTGCAGGAGTACATCCTGTCACACTATGTGACGTGGTTCTGTATCTGAGTAAGAAGTTTGCTAGTCTGTGTTTCATTAATTTTCCTACAGTTCCTTGAATTACCTGCTTGGAAAGTGCTTCCTCTACAATTCTAACTGATCTCTCAGCTGCACCATTAGAGGCAGGATGATAGGGTGGGGTCAGTACATGCTTTACACCGTTGAATCTCATGAAGTTTTTAAACTCTGATGATTGGAATGGAGGACCATTGTCAGAAACTACCTCTTCTGGTATTCCATGTTCGGCAAATATTAATCTTAATTCATCAATGGTGCTACCAGCATTAGTACTGTACATGTGCTTAACATCAATCCACTTTGAATGACTATCAATTAATACAAGAAATTTGTCTGTTCCCTTATCACAGAAGTCAATGTGTACTCTTTGGAAGGGACAGGTAGGCCATTTCCAGGTTTTCAAAGGTGTGCTGGGTGGCATACTCCTAACATTCTGACAAACAGAGCACTCACGTACCATCATTTCTATTTCACCATCCAGTTTAGGCCACCACACAAAACTTCTGGCCAGTGCTTTCATAGCACATATACCTGGATGTTCAAAATGCAGTTCATTCAAAATTTGCCCTCTAAAACACTGTGGAATAACACTCTCATACCCCACAACACACATCCCTGTTCTACTGATAATTGACATCTCCTTAAATGATACGGTTGAAAGTCAAAGGATGGACAAATCTCTGGCCATCCATTTAGTGTATACTCCAGGACTCTTCCTAATACAACATCTTTCCTAGTTTCATGAGCAATCATTCCAGAGGTGACTGGAAAATCTTCTGCTATCATGGTTACAGCATAAACCTTAGGCTCTACTCCATCATTTGATCCACTACATGGCAACCTTGACAAAGCATCTGCATTGGAATGATCATCTGAACGTCTGTACTGTATCTCATAGTCATATGCCGACAATATCAAAGCCCAACTCTGCATTCTTGCTGCAGCAAGTGTAGGAACAGGTGATTTAGGACCCAAAATTGCCAAGAGAGGCTTGTGATCAGTTATTAAAACAAAATTCCTCCCATATAGATACTGGCGAAATTTCTTTACTCCAAATATGATAGACAAAGCCTCTTTCTTTATTTGTGCATAATTTTTCTCGCTTTGGGTAAGAGTTCTTGAGGCATATGCAATGGGTCTTTCTTCACCGTTATCCATTATGTGACTTATGACTGCACCTAATCCATAGCCCGATGCATCACAAGCAAGCTTTTGTGTTCTACTGGTATCATAGTGGACCAAAACATCAGTACTAGACAGAGCAGCTTTACAATCTTCAAATGACTTCTGAGTTGCACTGTTCCATTTCCATGGTATCCCTTTCTTTAATAGTTCATGCAGAGGGGCTAAAACTGATGAAAGTCCACTCAAGAACCTTGAATAATACTGTATCATACCTAGGAAAGCTTTCAATTCACTGACATTTTTTGGAGCAGGTAAATTTACTATGGCTCCTACTTTATCTTCTACAGGTCTCAGCCCTTCTGCATTCACTTTGTAGCCAAGATAAGTTACTTCTTTAGCTAGGAATGAACATTTGCTCTTGTTGAGCCTGACATTGTGTGCCAACAATCTTTCGAATACTGTGGCTAGGGTTTTGACATGATTTTGGATGTCACTGTCAACAATAAGGATATCATCCTGAAAACATAACACATTGGGAAGACCCACAAGAATTTTGTCCATGATGCACTGAAATAACTTTGGTGCACTTTTAACACCATAAGGCAACCTTTTGAACTTATACAATCCTTTATGAGTGTTGATGGTAAGGTACTGTTGACTTTCAGCATCAACAGAGACCTGAGCATATGCTTGGGACAAGTCTAACTTAGTGAAAATGGTTCCACCTGTTAGTGCAGCAAACAAATCTTGAGATGTGGGTAAGGGATATTGCTCATCCTCAACAGCTTGATTAATGGTAACTTTATAATCACCACATAGTCTAACAGATTTATCAGCTTTAGGTACAATTACTATTGGAGCAGCCCAATTGCTCTTGGCGGTTTTCACAATAATTCCCTCACTCACAAGTCTGTCTAATTCCTTCTCAACCTCACCTTTCAATGCATAAGGAACAGGTCTGGACTTAGCATATATGGGTGTAACATCTTTGTCAATGGTGATATGAGCTTCATAACCCTTTATACCATCCTGTCCCTTTACAAATAAAATCTTGTATTTTTCAAGCAATTTCTCAAGACCTGGAATACTGTTACACATTCTAACACTAAATATCTCCATCCAGTCCATCTCAAGTTCACACAACCAGTTCTTACCTAACAAAGTTGGTCTATTCACATAACTAGCTATAATTAATGGCAACTTTAAATTCTGATTTTTGTACTTTACCTCACACTCTAATTTACCTTCTGTGTTCAAAATCTCTCCAGTATAAGTTCTCAACTTGACACCTGAGTCTTCTAAAGGCACATGCGCAAATAGTTTCTCATACATATCTTTACTCATTATGGAGAAATCAGCTGCAGTATCCATTTCCATGGTTACAGGTGTGTCATTAATACACAAGTCCACATTATACCTATGTTTAACTTTCTCTTCACGACTGGTGTAAATAGTAAACACACGGGCACTCTCATCATTATCAGATCCAAAATTACTAACACTCTCATGAATACTGTTTTTCATTTCCTTCTCTCCACCTTCAACGGCATATACTCTACCTTTATCACTTCTACAGGCAGGAGCAATATGTCCAATACGTTGACAATTGTAACATTTTGAATTCTTGAACTTACACTGAAAGCTTTCATGTTTCCCTCGGCACCTCTTACATTTTATATCAGCATGTGTTCCTTGTTTTGTGGTATACTTATTCCTTTTAGCTACAGTTCCTTTACACACTGAGCCACTACTGCTAACTGTTTTACTAACATCATTGGGAACAAATTCTCTGGTGTTTTTCTCGGCCAATTCCATGCTTGTAGCTATCTGACATGCACTTTGAAAAGTTAAGTTTGTGGTGTTCATTAACTTATTCTGTATTTTTTCATAATTCAGGCCTATTACAAACCTGTCTCTTAGAGCTCAGTTCAAGAACTGTCCAAAGTAACAGTGAATGGATAACTTCTTCAAAGCTACTATATAATTACTTACTGATTCATCTTTACCTCTATCTCTGGTGCCAAATCCGTAACTTTCAGCGATCTCAAGTGGAGCAGGAACAAAATGTTGCTTCAGAATCTTGGAAATCTGAATCAGCGAGGAGTCCTTGGGTTTGTCTGGAGTAAGCACATTGACCAGAGTAGAATAAACATTAGCTCCTACCTCTGTCAAAAAGATTGCTTTCCTTTTCTCTTGAAGGGCTTTCTTCTTCTGAGCATCACCACCGTCGTCCATTAATTCATTTGCCAGAAAGAAGAAGTCCATTCTCTCACAATATGATGTGAAATCTTCCTTGTCTGCATCATACTCCCCCAATCGTCTGATGTATCCACTGACTTCACTGACGCCAGCAATGGTTGCTCTCTTCACTTAAATTCTCCAGGTTCAGAGAAGCCTTCCCTTCAGTGGTCACTATCCTCTCTTCAAGGACTTCACCAACACTTTGTGAATCCCATCCTCGTCTCCAGTGTAGCATCTTGCGTTATTTAATGGTAGAATGACAAGCATATGGTGGGTCTGGCTGGGCGTTTATTCTCTGTTCTTGGCTACAACGTGCCTAACACATTTCGTGTTTACACAAGCCTAAACACTTTCTGACTTTGGTAAGAAGTAACATAATATATAATATACATATTCAATAAAGGCAGCATATAAACATACATATATATAACAAAAAGCAACACTTATTTACTGTTCATATATATTTTAATTAATGTTTCTGAATTTAAAAACAAAATTCTACCCACCAGTGGTGGTAAAGCTGAAAACATAAAGACAGCCAATGTTGTTGTGTGTGTTTTTACTCTGATGACGAAGTTGACAAGCCATCAGGTTCAACTCTAGCTAAGGCTGTAGAACATAAGAACTTTTCTGTGTTGTTTTTAGTTTTTATTTAACTTTATCTGTGTTCTTTCCGTTGGTTTATTAGGATGTTGCTTTATTACAGGTAGCAATTCGCCCAAAAAGTAGGGTAAATAAGGCCAAATTTAGACAAACATCGAAAGTACCAGACTCAAATTAATTTTCTCCATGGGCAAACTAAAATCGTTCTGGACCATGGGAGTTTCCGGACAACAGAATGCCAGACTAGAGGTACAACCTGTAATTGAAATAGAGACCGGGCCGACCCCCAAACTCCACTTTTTCAGACACAATACCTACGTTGTAGTAAAAATAACGTCTTAATTTTATGATGGTATGCACACACAATTAATAATTAAGAGAAATATCAATAATATTAAGTTTTTTAACACTTACATTAGTAGAAAAGATGGCTGGGCACACAGGGATGGGGGATTGGTTCTGAGGCAGAGGGCAGATTATTGGCCCTCACCTGTGTCACTTGTATCAATTGTATCCACCACAGAGGCTTGCAGGGCCTCTTTGTCAAACCCCTCAAAGTCCATTTAAGTCCATATCCTCACTATCACTGACTTGGGCCGGCTGTGGTGGGTGGCGGGTGAAGAACTCGGTAATGTTTTGATGACTGGGCGACCTTGTGCGCACCCTGCCCATGCTGCTCTCCACGTAAAAGAGTACACGCACCGCGTAAAGTGAGCATTCCGGGTCTGGCAGGGTACCGCGTAAACGTGGAAACGCATAAAAAAAGGCGTAAAAAACGCGTAAAGCGGGTTAATACTGTACATGTAATGCAATTCCTTGAAGAGAGAATGTCAATAGAAAACCATATGAAAAGACTAACTCTGTCAAGCCTTACATAACACAGCAGGTGTGAGGTTCAGTACCATGAAGTTATTTTTTTTCAGTGAACTGAACTTTTCAGCCATTAAAAAAAAATAATTGAAAAAATTCTAAAAAACACTCGCACTGCTTGGAATATTTTTCCTTATAAAATAAGCTTTACTAAAGATGATGTATCTATACAGGTATTTGATTTAACATATAAATAATAATAAATAATAATTATATTCACTTCCTTTGATAATAAAGATGTCAGTTGATTGTCAGAGGTTGTCTGTTCTAGAAACTAATATCTAAGACCAGTGCTTAAGAACCGCGGCAGCTGATGTACCTAAACGAATAATAATAATAATAATAATAATAATAATAATAATAATAATAATAATAATAATAATAATAATAATAATAATAATAATTATAATAATAATAACAATAATACCAGACAAGGATTCCCCTAGCCCTTGAATAACATGACGATATACAGTAATCCAACCATATAGTAATATCCTGAACTACAGTGTCTGAACGAAGAGGCTTGTGATACATACAGAAACTGGAGGCCATGTAGGGCAGTGAGGGAGGGAGGGATGGAGGTGAAGGTGTTCCTCTCAAGGGAGATCTCCCTCAGACTGGCAGGGAGGGAGTCAGCCACCAGCTCTGACAGCTTGTTGTTGTCCAGCACCCTGCAGGTGAAGGAAAGTGTCAATCTCGTGTTGTTATGTGAGGTACCATAACACCGTCTCGTGAAGAATTAATTACTTATAACAAAGGGATATTGAACAATAAACGTTTATGAACACTCAAACGACATCTGGATGAGGGAACTACACGCAACAAAGTCGAGTTTCATCCTGTTACAATGGATGTAAGTCCTGCATAAAGAAAGTTAAGAAGCATAAAACAAGACAAAGTTCGGGCAGGGAGACGGTCTACTGGTGGGGGTCAAGTAGAAGATATATGTGGGTCACGACCCCAGGGCAGGTGATCAACTCACAGCACTCTCAAGGGAATGTCCTGGAACGCTCCGGCCGCTATGGTCGTTAGCCTGTTGCCACACACCTTCCTGAAATTATGAGGACATTCAATCACTCTAATCTCTGTTTATGAAATTCTACATATTGTCAGTGTTAGTCAGCATAACATTAAATAAGTCTTCTCCACTTAATAAGTTTGTCACAACCATATACCCTGTATATACGAGTTTATGAAAGATATATTAGGATTTAACTACATATTAAAATGAACAGTTATCTGATATCATCTGAGTACAGAAAGTAGTAAGACACATTTACTTGTATAGCTGGAAGTAGATAAATACATACACATATGTGCATGTAATAAATTGTGACTATACGTAGTCCAGAGAGAAAGAGAGAGAGAGAGAGTACTCACAGGGTGTGCAGGGAAGGGTAGAGGCTGAAGGAATACTCGTGCAGCTCCGTTATGCCATTCTTGCTCAGATCCCTGGAAGAGAAATATGGGATTAACTCCATCCTGCACCCGGGTATACTGTATAATGTCACGCTGTGTATAATAAATTATTTCATATAAAATAAACAATTACTGCACGCGTGCGCGCGCACACACACACACACACACACACACACACACACATCACACACATACACACACACCTTCTATCTTTCTCACTCCCTTTTATTCTTATCTTTCTCTTCTTCTAGTTCTTTGTCTCCTCCTTTCTCACGATCTCTCCGTCCATCTCGTTTTCTTTTTATGTTTATCTTTCTCTTATTTGAGTTCTGTCTTTTCCTTCTTGCATGTTTGTCTGTCTGTCTGTTTGTGTCTATTTCTCTCTCTTCTTTACTTCTTTCCTTCTCCTCACCCTACATCCTCGTCCCTACTCTCTTTCTCCTTTCCCCTTAATTAATTCCTCCACCTTCCCTCTCATCATCCTCTTCCTACACCCTCGTCTCTACTCACAACACTAGACCTTCTCTGTTTCCATTTCACGGATAATCTACACGTCACCCCGATTTCCATATTAATCTTCCCTTCCCCGAGACACTAAAATCTGATTGGTCCCTGGGTCACAGAGTCCACCCAGCATCTCTCAGCTCCACCCAGTATCTCTCAGCTCATCTTTAGTCTCTGGGTGCACATGCTACCGTTTTTAATGCATGGAATTGGGTCTCATAGTACTGGTGGATCGTTAAGGGTGGTGCATATACAGAATACTAAATATTAAGCCGTTGGTATATAAGGTTGTATAGTGTGGCCAGCATTACATTCGATAGACTTCACTTGTTCCACCTATTCAAAAGTGGGTCGACTGGGGGTGCCCCGGGGTTGAAACTAGCAAATATACCTGTATAAGAGTGGTGTTAATCGTAGATCAAGTAAGATGGTGGGCCATAGCCGCTGCGTATGATAAAACGAAAGTGTGAGGGAGTAAATATAAGAACATGTCTCTCTTTCTCCGGCTCCCTTAGCCTTGCAGCCTCTCTCTCTCTCTCTCTCTCTCTCTCTCTCTCTCTCTCTCTACATACATGGATCTCCGTATCAGCTCTTCTGTAAACATTAGAGGTATTATTTTTTTTCCGGGGCTGTGTAATGTGACAATACCAGCGAGCCATCTCCACTCTCACTCTTCCACGCACTCATTTATCTGCTCACACACCCCAACGTTTTCATACACTATGGCACTCTCTTACACACCCCAGCATTCTTTCACACACTTCACCATCCTCTCACACACTCCACCACCCTCTCACACACTCCACCACCCTCTCACACACTCCACCACCCTCTCACACACTCCACCACCCTCTCACACACTCCACCACCCTGGATTGGATTGGATTAGAATAGATTATACTATATCAGGTTAGGTTAGCTTAGCATTAGAGTGGTTAATCTCTTAAGGTGAAATAAACAGGGGGGCATAATCTTCACGTGATCCCTACTACGAGAAACGCCCGCTCTCCCGTTAACGCGTGTAGTGAGGGCGAGAATGCCACAGCGTATCTGGGAGCATCACTTGAGCGTAGGCACGGGAGAGAATACCTTGTGTGACCAAAATAGATGAACTAGATTTGTGTTAAAGGTTATACGGCTATCTGTTCCATTCCCCGTGTGTGTGTGTGTGTGTGTGTGTGTGTGTGTGTGAGATTATGAGCTTAACTAGAGGAGGAAGTGTATGATTCAAAGTATGACTGTGAGAGCATAAGTTAGAGAGAGAATGTGTGTGGTTGTACTGCGCACATCATAGTCATTCTTAAAAAAACCCTTTAATTCATATTACGCTACATAACATTCAAATCCACCGCACTTGTAAAATCTCAGAAAACGGGAAACATTGATAAAGAATAACTCACCTAATGAATGTTATGGAATTATTTGATGAATTGTACCCAACTACGGGTATATAATATTAATTGCATGTACTCATAGCATTAAGGAGAACTCAAGGTACCTATAAGATGATTGGGAAAGTCCTGTTGATCCGGACTAGTGTACTTTAGGACTAAGTGTAGATCGTGGTTTGAAGGTCATACTATTTACGTCTGTGAACGTTTAGCGAACATAACTTCCGCAGATATCATATGAAAATACATGAGAACAATGATCTGGAAAAAGGATAAATGTATTAGGACTATGTGAGGTGTTGGAAGTGACCCAGAAACTATACTTGAAAGGAAATATCTTGTATGCATCGGTGTGAACTTAATACACCTCGTATTCTCGCGTGACGTATACCCACGACATGTTCAGTGATCAGAGAATCTTATGTCTGTGTTCAAGTAGTGCAATGTGTGAGAGGAGGATCCCTAATTACAGTTTTAAGTGAAGTGGATATACCCACGCTATGAACATTCGGCTTTTGTTTCAGGGTAGCGTCCTTTGTATCCGGACTACAGGTTTGAGTTGATGATATAGCCCAATTAATTTCCCCAGGAACTGTCAAACCCGAATCGTATTCTAGTATGTAAGTTAGGATTAAAATATGTATTTATAAAGCATAAGGTCACAATAGATAGGAAAATGTTCGTGTGAGAACCATAAGAAATCAAAGTGAAAATTAAAGATTGGAAACTGTAGGCTTGGTCGGTGAGAGGCGCAGGACCTCGCCCTCAGTGGCACCTACTCTCTCATCAACACAGGTCAGTGAACTTCATTGGGCTGTATTCATCCCTAAAAAAAGAGACTTATATAGGAGTTATTACAGTTTAAAACTTTGCCTGATGTATAAAGTGAAATAGTAATGTATTGGGGTGGGTGATAACGGCCCATCAGGCATTATTTCTCAGTGGCACCTACTCATCAACACAGGTTCCCCGGGTTTTGAACTCGCCAGAACGGCGGCCATTACCTTGTGTTGGCCCCACCATGTGAGATGACTACTCACAGCTATGCTACTCCGCTGTGAACCTGTGGATTCCCGGCATCCCACCACACATGAGTAGGAATACATAATGGAATGTTTGCGAAACTCCGTGGTCATCATTTGGAGCGACCTATAATACCAGGCGTAGAAACAGTACTGGTTTTATGTCTCTTGGTGAAGCCCTCGTCTCTACCCACTGAGGGCGGTGTGCGAACGAGGTGCCTGATATGTGTACCTAGAAATTACAAGGAGTCCTATACTTGCAGGTGTGGAGTATAACAGGTGTGGTGAGATGGTCCTACAGGGAGGTGAGATGGTGCTACTATGTATGATAACCTAAGGTGCTCTATTCCATACAGGTGGAGCAGTCTGATGTATTAAGGGATAGTGTAAGAAGGGATGACCGAGGTAAAGAGGTCACTCATTGTTATGCGTAATAAGTATGTGGATGACACGCAATTAATGTAAGACGTTTGTTGTTGAGCAGTGTAACCAAAACCATCGTTGTTCTTCTGAGGAAGGCCAACTCACTTGTATTTTAACGGAATGCAATAGGTTTTATAAGGAATAAATTAGTTAAGACATGTTATTGTTTCACCCTTCTTTCCCTTATCGATTTGGTCAATGAAAAACCCAACCCAAAGCCTAGTCTACTCTGCCCAGAGCTACTGCCCAGAGGGGGTCTGGCGGCAGCAACCCTTAGAAATTAAGAATAGAGTTAAGTTATCCCCTTAGACTTAGTGACCGCAGAATCTGGTAGTATATGGTTATTTAAACTCCAAAGAACCTACATCCTACCATAGCGTATAATATGTAGGGAGTGTTGAAAACTGTTCATAACCAAGGAAAATAAAATATACAGTATAACAAATTTCTCGAAGCTACTTCTTCCTGAACCTCAGCGGGAGAGGCCCAGGAAAAACGCAAACTTCATCATACTCGCCTCATACTTGAGCAACCTGATAAAAGCTTTGACCTTTTACGTGCTCGGGGTGAATGACCTTTAACCTTTATTTGACCTGTTGGTGCTTAATTAATGATCCAGAATCAGGTATGGTAGTATGTTCTGGCTCTGGTGTATATATATATATATATATATATATATATATATATATATATATATATATATATATATATATATATATAGAGAGAGAGAGAGAGAGAGAGAGAGAGAGAGAGAGAGAGAGAGAGAGAGAGAGAGAGAGAGAGAGATTTTAACTCCATTCTTGTACATAATTTGTAGTTTTAACAAATACTACTACTACTATAGTAATAATAATAATAATAATAAAATAAATAAACAAATAAGACTAAACACTTAATAAACATGTAAACAAAACTTCAATCATTACAGACCTTATCAAAACCTCCTCTCCTCTTAATATATTCTACGTCACCGTAATTAGTTTCTCTATAGTTGGTTGTTGTACTCAGCTTATAAATGGGTAGTTCATAAACGGGCTGTAGTACAATACGACACTGTGATAGATGGAAGGCTTGTGTTCTTGTGCTTCCAACGAAATACACGGTCTTAAAAAATGTATACACACTGACTTAACAGATTTTAGTGGATATTGGGTGAATTAATATATTATAAGAGCAAAATTGTCCTCACTTGTGGAAGACCTTGCGCGGCAACATGTGTGGTCAATGGTGCTGTTGTATTATCAATATTCTGACGATCTGTAAGTGAATTTGTAAGGCGATATGTATACATTTTTCTGAGACTCTCTGTATATGTTCATTCTGCTGGGACTCTGGACTACAGTATCTCGTTGCGGGGTTCAATTTAGCTGCAATAGACGTCACTCTCGGTCCAATTTCGGGTCATTTATGCTTATAAGCCAAAGAAAATTGCTTCTCTACCAACTCTTGTTTATATTATGGGTCAAGTGAGTGAATTGGAAACAACCGCTTATTTTTTTCTAGGATGATGGTTTGACCCTTTAATGAGTACAGTTTATTGGTTTAACCCTTTGAGGATGATGGTTTAACCCTTTGAAGACGATGGTTTTAACCGTTGAAGTCGATGCCTTATGAATTTCAGGACAATGGTTTCTCCCGCCCTAACTCCCCTTAACCTCTACTGACGCTCTTATCTTGCTAGTACAGTTTACTG